GTACACAGTGTATTCATTAATTTTCATTTTCATGTAGTAAAGGCTCTATGCCTTCATAAAGGACGTACTTTTCCTTTGTTTAAGGGTATTTGGGCAGTTTATTCTCTGTTATATTCTCAAGTAAACAATACATACAAGTACAGTACAGTATTTTCTGAGGAAACACTCGTACTTATTTTTTTAAACCCATTCCCGATAACTCGGCATTTTCACAAACTCGGCCACCCTTCGGTCCACATTAGGCCGAGTTTTCGAGGTTCTACTGTATAGACTTACTAGTCCTCCACTGTGAAAAACAACAAACTGCTAAACGCTTTGTTACTTTGTTTTCAAAAACTTCCTTCTCTGTCAGCCAAGGGTCAAATGGCTAACAAATTGGTTACTTCCACTCAGGGAAATGTGATGGTGTCATAAAACTTTATAAAATGATTAAATAATACCAATGAAAGAAATTAAATTAATTTCGGTCAAAGTTTTTTAGAAGTTATTCGCTTTATAATAACGCGATTATAAGCGAAGAAGCGCGCGCAGTAGCTGCAGCTATTTTTAGTAACAGCGACTGGCGGGAAATTTGAAAATTGAAATCCGAGATCACGCGCTCTATAGTGCCGATTCGGAACCAGTAAATAAATAAAAATAATGAGACGCTTTAAGCAAAAACTAAATTGCGCATCGTAAAATTGAAAGAAAATTAGACAGGTAATAATTTTTTTTCAGATTTTTCACACAATTAGAATTTTTACACGAACTAATTAAAAATCGATTAGTGCCTAATCGGCACTAGGCGCGTGCCGACGGGTTGAGGGATGCCTTCCGGGAGGTCTTTTTAAAAGAAACTGGCCCCTATTTAGGCGTTACAGACGTGGAGTAAACCCGGAAAACTCCACGCGAAGCGCAAACCCACCACCGAACTATCAGTGTTGAAAGTACGAAGACCGCTTGGCCACTGGTGAGCGACAGGGCTTCAGAGAGAGGAGCCTAAATTTTAATCTTTTACATAGAAAATAGGCTCGCCAGTGACCGAGTGGATAAAACTACCGAACACTGGTCGCGGGTTCGCTCCTGGCCAAGTGGAATTTTCCGGGCTGTGCGATAATTTTCCCAAACTTCCCATTCGAACGCCTGCAACTCCTCTTCTGTGGTGCGATTAGTGTGCGGACGGGAGTTATCGGGCAGTAAGACACCATTTTGTCACGTTTTGCCAGTTTTGAGCTAAAAACTCTGTATTTATTCTAGTAGAGGTGCGATTCGGACACGCTCAGTTACATGTCTTAATCGCGCCTCTATTGGAAGGGCCATGCAGGTTTTTGCAGCTCATTCTGGCGTACTCTTCCATAATTGTATGAGTACTGGGTGCGAAGTATAAATATTGTGAACATATAAACGTCTATGTTAAAAAAAACAACAGGAAAGAAGGAAAATAAATTATACATTCAATTCCTTGTGTTAAAAATATCATGTCATTGAAATGATTATATAATAAATGATAGAAGGAACAGGTTTCGCTTTGCAATTATATACTTATTATAATTAAATATATATCTAAAATTATGTATTTCGCTTTATTAAGTTAGTCATTTATTGATTTTAATATATTTAAAAACACAAAAAATGGCGTGGTAGATAAAACCACCGTCGGAACTACAATTTTGGTATTATGCAAATTATGTATGCATTTTTTCCAACAGACAATCCACAAAGTACAGTCGACCCCCTATAACACTGTTGATAATTCCGTTTTTATATGAATTCCATGTTGTACGAGTCACTTAGATTTTACAAATACGTGTGCCGGGCTGTGAACGGCTCACGTATTTGTAAAATCTAAGTGACTCGTACAACATGGAATTCATATAAAAACGGAATTATCAACAGTGTTGTAGGGAGGTCGACTTGTATGTACAGTCAGCAGCCATGTACTGTACAGTACACTACTGTACTTGTAAGCTTACCTAAGGTTGTCAGTCATGTAGGTCAGCAACGTTTTATCTTACGCATTCCTAATTTATCACTTCCTGAACGTTGTTTTCCTCCCTTTCCGCCCATGCACGGCCTTATGACGAAGTCTTTGCTACCCAATGACACCCAATATTTTACAATTTTTTGTATTCGGGGCCTCGAAACGTCGAGAAATGAAAAAGAAGTTGGAAATTTTTTCTGTATGGATGTTAGCGTGAGGATTTTATTCACCCACTTCAAAGCTCGATAATTCCTCTAACTTTTGTCGAAAATTTCTGAAATTTTGCAGGATGGTTTGCATGTAAGGGGCATTATTGCTGTTAAATTTTGATGGTTAAAGGTCGACAGGGTGGGAAGATAGAGGGGTCACTTTTCCTATCTCGAGTGGCGTCGGAATTAATGGAGATTTTGCTCGTTATTAGCATCTACACTCTTAAAAGTAAGCTTTTTGCCATTTTATAGCAATTAATATAAACATTTTTTAAAAATAAATCCCGTAACAGATGACGCCACGCACAATTTTTTTGCCGGGAAAGTTATGCAACTCCTTGCTGGATTTTTAAGATTAAAGAAGTTTCACGTTTAATTAATCAATTCGACATCAACATTAACCATTGTAAGACATTACATATATAATAAATAATGGTAGAAAACACTGTAGCCGAAATAGCTCAGTTGGGAGAGCGTTAGACTGAAGATCTAAAGGTCCCTGGTTCGATCCCGGGTTTCGGCAAGTGGTTAATTTTTTTTTCCCTTTCATTTATCATATTAAATCGTGATTAGTAAACACATTAACTTTCCTTACATTAGTAATAGTGATGTGCCGGATCGTTAAAAATGTATATCCGCGGATACGGATACGGATCATTCGTGTCTAGATCCACGGATACGGATCTCAACTTTCGTACTCAGTCGGCGCCGGTGCGTGTGACCTTGAACCGATAGTTGACGCTTTGCGTTAATAACGCGACGTGTTTTGACTTGCACTGCGCGTGTTTTTGTTTATGGTGTTAAAATGTGCTAAATTAGAATTCACCACAAAGGCAGACAGGATAAAGTAACAAAAGTTGATATAATTTTCCAATTGAGCTATTTCGCGTCTATAAATTATACAGATTCTATTTCGAGGGATTCCAACTTCACGGTACAAACAGTAGCATGCGAAATTACAGCGATAATAATAGTTCGCTGTATCCAAAGCACGTGTACAATACAGATCCCGATAGCGACAATATAACCCGGAACCTTAAAANAAACAATGTCGACAAAAAAATTTAGTAGTGTAATATGGAAATATTTTACGATAGTAAATGACGAATGTGCTATTGCTACCTATCTTTAAAATTTCATATAAGTAATGAAATTCATTAAGATAAAAGATCCGTTAAAGATCCGCTAAAAAGTAACGGATACGGATCTTTTTTTCCCCTCGGATATCCGCGGATACGGATACGGATACGGATATCCGGCACATCACTAATTAGTAATGAAAGAGGATGAAATGGATAATTCGTATTACCTCCTGTTTTTACGTTTTTTCCCTTGTCCTTGACTCCGTTCCGTTTGTTTTTAGAAGTGGTTTAAGTAAGCCCATAATCGCTAAGAGAACCTTTCTTGATACAGAATTTAGAGATCATTTTAACACTACGAGGAACGACCGACCTGCCCTAAACCTTGGTATTTCATCCTCTCTAATTCACTCTTGAAAAAATCCGAGCCAGGACTCAAAACTTTGATCCCTTATAATGTCTGGAGAACCCAGGTTCGAAATGGGACAAGCAATTCTAGAAATTTTTCACGGGTATTCTGTCCTGAACATAAATTGGACCCTGTTGCCTCCATTACGGAGAGACCTGAGTAACGAGATTAAATCATGCCCATTATGGATGAATGGGAATGATTTAAAAACGCTCTCACATAGAGTAGAACACAGTTTTAAAAAAGAACTCACAATGAATACGATTTAAAGGGTAAAATGTGCTCACAAGGCAGAAAGATCTTTTATAGAGTTTGTTGTACCAAGGGTTATTTTTATATCCTCCATAGATTTGGCTAGATCCATAATTTAGCAAGTTATAAACAATGGGGTGACAATAGAGAGGTTGCGGCTGAAGTTTTCATCTGTCAAACGTGAACGTCAAACGTCGAGCGCCGCTATCTTGTAAGCAGCGCTCGATGTTCGACGTTCACGTTTGACAGATGAAAACTTCGGCTGCAACCTCGCTAATGTACAGAATCAAACTAAGAATGTGTTTTAGGATCAAACTCTGATTGGATTCTTAGAATGCGAACTGATTTTTACTGCTGGAATATGGGTATCAGATAATACTGTATGAAATCTTAAATATTTCTACAATCAAAATTCCATAAATAGATACTTATCTGATTAAAATATAACAATTGTGATAATGTATTTTGCAATTACACTTCTGCTGATTATTCTCTTGGGATAGAATATTTTACACGACTATCATTCTTTCTGTTTAATTAACAAGTAAAAAAGGTTTGTTCTTAAAATATTTTTATTAATTTTGCTTACATAAAGTATTGAAATTAATTTAATCTTGATTTAACTGTATATTTATTATTATTATTATATCTGTACTCAGAGTTTTATAAAAACAATGTAAAGGATATTGTTCTTAATTTCTCGTAACAAAAATTTTACATTATATTCTATTTATTTTCATAGTTTTGGTGCCGGATTAAAGTAAAAATTCTCAAACTAAAATTTACCCTCGCATTATTTTCTTGTACTTTCGTCCATTATTAGAATCTGTTTATGAGTGACGTAAGGTTGCATGGCTGCACCGATGCCGTCTGCAAAGTTGTCGTAGGGTACCAGTTTACAGTTCGGAGCCTTGAGACGTTCGTCTCTTAAAAGATCGCAGATGTATTTATACATGGCCTTGCGTTCTTCGCTTTCGGCATTTTCTTTAGTCCAACGCGACATCCAGTATCCCACGACTTTTATGTCTTTGAAAATTAGCACGCTGGTGGGAACCGTGACTGGTTCTTTGGACATTCCTCCGTAAGTCACTATGGTGCCTTTGTCCGCTAAATGCCTCATGATGTCCGTGGCACTCTTCCCGCCGACGCAGTTCAATGCCAATTTGGGTTTGGGAATAGATTTGAAAAAGTCTTTCATCGAAGCCGACCTGAAACACACAAGAAAATTATTTTTAATTTGTAATTTCATACATAATTTAATTACTTAATTATATTTAGTGTTTAAATTTTCAAATTAATAAGAAAATGCAGCTTATTGTTGTATATTTAAATGTTTGCAAGCTTTCCTACCTTGTCAAGGAAGTAAAATTCTTTCCCATTCCAAACGACAAAAAAAGCGAGACTTGAAAGCATTTGGGGTTTTAGGTATTTAAATTCATTTTAATTAATTTGAGTTTTTGGAGATTTCCACACACTGTACATTGAGATTGTATTCTATTAATTTAATTTTTGTGCTAAATAATCTTCTAGTGGTTTATTAATTTACTTTTTAAGTGTTTTTTTCTTTGAATTTTAAATAAGATTCTTTTGACTACCTAATTAAGCTCTGTATTTAGTTAATCCAGATTTCATTATACCGTAATTTAGAATTATAGAAACACATTATAACGTATAAATGTAATTAAACTCCAAAATGTTACATTGCCATCTGAATTTTTGGCAATAAATTTTTAAAAAACCTTTGATAAGACCAGTGAAGAACAGATAAATTATTTTAAAAATTTTCAGATTCCTCCTCAAATCTTGTCGCAGGTTAAAATTCATTCTGTTCTTGAAATGTACGATCAGAATATCCATAGAATTCAATTTTAAAAAAATAGTCGTGTGTCAGACGGAGAGCTTTGATACAACAGAAGTTATAAGGAAATATCATAAAGTGCTTGACACACGGGTAATGATAACCGAATTTTTCTTGTTTTCTGTTTTTCGTTACACTATACTGTATTTCAAACATTACCAATTAAGTGTAACAATAATCACATAAAACCAAAAATATGAAATGCAATTATCATCACCTGCACGTCAAGCAATTTATATATGTATATTTTCTTATAACTTATGCTGTATCAAAGTTCTCCGTCTGACACGACTACTTTTTAAAATTGAATTCCATGAATATTCTGCTTGTACATTCCATATATTGAATGAATTTTAACCTGAGATAGTATTCGGGAGGAATTTCTATACTAGACTTATATGAGACTTTTTTGAGAATTTATCGTGTTTGTTCAGTTTGAGATAAGCGAGGTTATTGTAAATTTTTGATTATGGTGAACTATTTTTAAACATATTCTTCAATCAAATCTATGGCTTGACTTCTCCAAGATGTGAGAGTATATACCAATATTCTCTTGTACCACTATACTGCATATCTTTTTTATAATCACATTGTTATTTCACTTTTACATAAATGAAGCAAAAATTCCCAACCTCTTCTTATAGGCTATTTGACTTTGTACTGTACAAGACAGTTTCATTATTTTATAGAAAGTTTTTTGTTTTTAATTGTATGACTGATAAAACAATTTAAAAACTGTAAAAATATAAATGTGCTTATCCGGCAAATTAGCTATGCCCCTCTTGCAGTAGATCCTTACCATTTTTACTTAGCGATAAGGGTATGACTTTGGTGCATTTCCTCTGTATACATGTATAAAGTGTATAAGTTATATATAAAATACCATTCCAATGTAAAACAAGGCTCTTTTGTATTTCTAATACACAGTATATGGCTCCTATGTTTGACCATCCTGATATATTTGTACAAAAAGGGTGTTGTCTGTTTTCAATTGCCTTACACCATTACAATTTCAGAGCTCCAAAGATGCTTATAATATTAAATTAAACTAAACAGTGTTGTTGGAATTTAACCAAGCCATAATACTTCTAATTAATTTTAAAGATACTACACAATTAGATACATTACAGCTTGATTAAATTCTAGTGATACTGTTTATTGCTATAGATCAGACTCAGTTTATACGTTTATTAAAAGAGTTTTATTTGTGTTTAAAATTTTATGCTAATCTGTAACTGATAAAAATCATATTCATGTTATCAAAAACAAGTCAAATAGCATTTATTATGGATATACTGCATATTAAAAAGTGTTATGTCAAGTGAAAACGTAAGTACAAATAATGAACCTGAACTCTGACTTTTCTTTATCAAATGTATATATGAATTAACCAATTGCAACAAAAAAAATGTTAAAAAAATTCTTTATCAATTGTTGAAACACACAGATAAGATAAATTTATCTGTCACAATTATTCAACGATGGCCTTGACGTCAATAAAAAGTTCAAATTAAAAAGCAGGAAAACTTTTTACAATAACTTTCTTGATGATTTAATAACAAACAAGTTTCCCATTTACATACCAGTTACTTTAATAAACAGTTTATTAAATGTTAAATAGACAATTAACTTCTTTAGCAATGTATTAAATTTAAATTTACCTTATTTCTTCCTCGTTAAGAACGAAATCAGCACCTAGAGAGGTCAGATATTCTTTCACTTCATTAAAATTTGGACGTTGTCTGACTACATTAATGGTGTGTATTCCTTGCTGTTTAGCAATCTGTATGACGGCCTGTCCGACGCCGCTGTTGCCACCATTCTGTATAACCCAATCTCCCGGTTTTAAATCCTCAAAATCTTTTAACATTCTGTATGCCGTGCAGGGATTGACGGCCATAGTGGCAGCACCGATTAACGGAATTTTATTGTCGACCTAAAGGATAAAAAATTGGAAGAATTAATCTACTAAAAAACAATTTTTAAACGTTTACATCACAGGAATTAAGTCACAAATATATTAATATATAAAAATTTGAGGAATCAAAACATAATCGCATTGTCTTAAACAACAAGTAGAGATTTCTTCAAGGTCTCGAGTATATTCAAGGAAAACCTTGAGCAACAGGATATTCAGGATAAGCAATAAGTTTTTAATGAGTGCATTAGTGTTGTTTATAAATGATACATTTCAAGATTTCAATTTAGAAAACCTTTCAAAACAGATTAAGCTGTTAAACATGTTTACTACACACTAAAGAATGTTTAATTATATTAAACTAAAATTATAAGGATTAATTAGTTGTAAAATTCACCTAATTAATACTCACCTCTATACATCCCGTTTCTACACATACTCCATGCGTTCTCCACGTGCCCCAACCAGGTAAGGAAGGTATTATCCACGATCCTACTTTTAAATTCTTTACATTGGAACCAATCTATTTACGACAAAAATTTTATTGGAATATTTTGAAAAATATAATGATTCTTATTCTATAATTTTATAAGTGATTACAAAGTTTATGTATTACTTAAAAATATATTTTCCAAAAGGACAAGTAATTATGCTTTATGAAAATGAACTTTACAGAGATTTAAAACACGAATAATTTTCAGCCTTGCTGGTTTATCTTTGGAGGCTTAAAGATAAATTACCCTCAAAAGGAACAAACTCTAACATTCTATTAAAAAGAGTTTTCCGTATAATCTTAAAAGCACATTTTTACAGCACGACTACCGCCAACATTTTGTTTTAACCAAAAACATACAGACAAGATTTAGTCACAATTCATATTTATACACTGAAACAGGATATAGCTTGCAAGAGCATTTGTTTCTTTCGAGTGGCGAGAACCTGATCTAACATGTGATTAATCTTGTTGTTGCATTATTAAATGATTGGTTTGATAAAACAACAAGATTAATCACAACAATGAGCAAAAAACTCTACAAATTAGATATTGTTTGCAACATGATTGCGAGTTGTGAAACCAAGGTTACAAATGTGTTCAGACGAGGCATCCAGGTTTCAGGCAGAAAAATGTCGGCAACGGTCGCATCGTGTAAACTAGCCTGGAGGCACAAAAAACTTGAGGAAATCCTGCTAATTTATCTGTAGAGATATAAAAAATTGTTATATCTTTGTAGATAAGTTGGCAAGGTTTAAATTTCTACATGTTCATGTAGACAGCCGAACAACCAAAGTGGTTAAGGAACTGACCCACTAGCCCAAGGGACCCGACCCAGGTTCGAGTCCAGATAAAATCCTCGGTAATTTTCATGCAACTTCTGGCCTAGATGCATCTGATCTTACCCTGCGCAATCTGGTTACTATATTGCTAGTTATTAAAACCTCTAATGGGCTTGTTATAAAAGTTTTTTTATTCAATCTTTAAAATTGTTTTCAATAATATTTCTATAAGCATTTCAATTTTTTAATCAGACTCTTCTTCTGTATTCAAGGTTATTCAATTCATATTCACTAGACCTTGAAGGTATTCGGCAAATGAATAATTTTATATGCTGATATTCGTGTAAGCATTTCTTTAAGATGTTTTTTAAAAAACGTCTTAAATAAATGTATACACAAATTTATTTTTTATTCATAAAATAATATAAACGATAGATTTGAAGAAGTCTCTAAATTGAACTTGGTACTACATGATAATTTTCATCTTATGATCTTATCTGATAATAAATATTATATAATAAAGAAGTTTAAAGTGATTAAAAGATACGTTTTTGGATGATAAACTAAATTGAATAATTAAAATACTCATTTAATTTTTTAAAAAATAAGCAAATAATTAAATTCTGATAGAATTGTATAAAATTTTATGAAATTTTTTACACACACAAAACAGTTTTATCTGCATTCAAAAATCAGAAAAGCCACTTTGATGTTTAGTTATGTAACACAGGACAAACACAATAGACAATACTAGCTGCTTCACTGCCTCCAGTATACATCTGACCATCTAAATCAGACAAAAAAAAAATAATAAAACAATTATATTTAATCTAGAATTGTACCTCTTACTGTCAAATACATCATCACTGCATTAGTTACAAAACGTTATTGGATAAAAAGATAATGTCGGAACACATTTCAAAATTTATGTGTACATTATTCATATTTCTAGTTTCTATTTTTTTACTGTAATGACAGCTTTGTTTCTCGACAATGGAAGTCGACGTCAAGAACTAACAATACTTCGTCTTTCTCTATAATTATTAATTGAATAGTATATTATAATCTTGTCCGGGTAGCTGATATTTTCTTATCTGTTCCGTAAATCGGTTTCTACCGTCCGTAAAACACTACAATTAACTATGCGCTTTCATTTTTTGTTTCTTTCTGGATGTTAAATATAATAAAGAAAAATATTGCAATTAGTCAAAAAATCACCCCCAAGATTTTTACAGTTTTCGACCTCTGAGATCTTGAAATATCAAGAAATGGGGGATTTGTTTTTTTTTTCTGTATGGGGTGCACAATTTTGTTCACCTATTTTGAAGCTTAACTCGTGTGCTTTTACTTAAAAATATCCGAAATTTTGCAGGCAGCATATTAGGGGGATTGGTGCTGTTAAATTTTAGTGGTTAAAGGTGAGTGGGCGAAGAGATAAAGAGAGGTCATACATCGTATCTTGAATATGGTCGGACTTAATGACGATTTTACACATTATTAGTATTTACAATTTGTTATTAAACTCATCTCTACCCTCAAAATTATGCCTTTTACCATTTTATAATATTTAATAAAATAAAAATTTCTTAAAAGATGACACCACACACAATTTTTAACCCATGCCGTGAAAGTTACACAACTCATTGCTGGATTTTTTGATGAATCAAGCAGTTTCCTAAAATTTAGATTAAACAGGTTAGAAAAGTTTTACAATATTTAAGAATTTCTTATCTGAAAATCAGTGATAAGTTTAAGTAATTTTAATACAGTACTTTGTATGGAGTGTACTGAAATTCCATGCGAATATTTCGAGGACAGATTCCAGAATCAAAAGCAAAAATAGTTGGAATGATAGAGTTTTTCAATGCAAACTTACATTGAATAACATTTTCTTTTTTACAAAGCTAAACAGAATACAGTGAACTCTCGTATAAAGCGCTCCCCTATAACATGATAAAAAAATTGTGACTAGTAATCACACAAAATTCTGATTTTTGTCTTCCAGAGGTATACATTTTCTTTTTTAACTTCTAGGTCTAGATTTAAACTTGCATGAAATTGTCTGATAATGCAATTTTCTATAACACACAACTTATCACATGTGCTGTAAAGGACTCCATTGTAGTATACAAGAATAGTTAAATTTCCATTTGTTCAAAAAAACTAATTCTTAACATTTAACATATGGCTAAATCAATCTTCTAGTAACAAGGCAAAAAGTTAAAATAAATGCACAAACCTTAAACTGACATTGCAGATAAGTGAGCTTTCCATTATAATTGTTTTCAGTCCGCTTCTAAGACAATCCTCGGGTAGCTCTCTTTAGAAATCTGGTAGTAACATTCTAGAATAGAATGCATAGAAGATAATCCAATAAGTTCAGATTAAAAATTTTTAAACATTCAGTGGTGCGTGTTTATCTATAGACTGTGTGTTGCCTCCTATAATGATGAATCAAATATTGCCCACAACATGAGGGAGATCCATTTTTCTTCTTTAAAGGTCGGAGCACCATTTTAAATATTTCCAGCACTTCCAAATTTTTGACTCATTCAGCATAAGGTGTTTTTCATACTGGAATGGCTTGCTGGAGTTCCGGTTTAATCTCATTGTCGTTGATATATATAGCTAGGATGGTAGTCTGACCGAGGAAGATCTTAAAAATGGATCAAAAATGTTGATAACAGAAAGTTCACTTATTGGCAAGGCCAATTTAAGGTTTGTGTGTTTATTTAAAATAAAGCTTCGATTTATACATATTGGTAGCACAGAAGTAAAAAACAAATGGCAGCATGTCTTTTGCGGAAGAAATAAAATTGGTTTCAGAGATGATTTTTCGGAAGACGAAATCTCAAAAACAAAATGGAATTTAATAAACGTGTATAGAAGATTTCAAGACTATTTTTCACCCTAGAGTATATCTTTTAAATATCAGCATGGAGTTTCATTACATCACATATAATGTATACTTCTATTTTGACATAACACCATCATTATCTAATTCTAAAATATAATATGACATTAAATTAGAAAAATCATATATTTAAAATTTTAACCATATATAAATAAGGTCAATCAATTCAATTAATTTTAACAAATATAAATAAACTAAGTCAACTGCTGAATTATTCTTAGGATATTCTGATAAGGTGACCTTGTACAGTACAATCTGATTCTAAATTAAGCATGTTTAAAGACAAAGATCAGATCGGGACCCTGATAATTCGACCGATAACATGTCCGTCCAGTTCAGAGTCGATCTTTCCTCTCAATTTTCGATCTATTTAGTAGTATTTATAGTTGTATAAGTTTAGAATGGAGCTGTTCTTTGCTTTTTTCCTGTTATCACCTTTGTAAACTTAAAATTAATATAAATATATACGAGATTAACGATTTAATTAGTAACATACCGAGTTATTAAAATTAACTCAGTAACACGAAACTGTGTTTAGCTCGTAGCAGGTTTCCTTCCTGTAACATGAAAAAGCAGTTATTGACAAAGAATAAGTCAATATCAAATTAAGAGGCAGATTTTAACAATATAATAGACAGTACATTCTTCTACACTTCTTTTTCTAGTTATGCTGATGATCATACAACCTGGCATTCTTTGCTTTCTAGAGTGCTCTACCACTTTAACTAATTGAATGTAATAAGAGTAAACAAATGCTAATTATAGTGGCTAGATGGCCAAGAAAGGGCGTGCCTGTTTCTGCAAAAGATCCTGATTTGGGTCCAGTCAGATTATTGAGAATTTTTTGTGATAGTTAGGTGCCCATCATTCTCTACTTGCACTTGCATTCAAACATTTTTGTGAACATCAACAACCTGAACACAGACAAAATTTATGTGAAAGCAAAGGCACAATATTCATGGACTGTGTGCCTAGAATACATGCACGAATTTAATTTTTGGATTTGGAGAATACTTTTGGTACAAGCAAAAGATCCAAATATAAGTCAAATCCCTAGTATTTTTAAGACACGCACACACATATACGATTTTCATAGAAGAAACACAAGTGCTAAGATTATCAAACTTTTTGTCTAGTATAACAAGCTTCGACTATATTTGTCCACTGGCGCAGAATGGATAAAACCACCAAATGCCAGTAGTCAGTAGTTTATGCCCAGCCACGTGGAGTTTTCTGGGTTTTCCTCACGTTGGTAACATCGAACTATGCAGTAGTTTCCCTCAAAAAGCCTTCCTCCCAGGCAAATCGACCACCTTGCATCATTTCAACCGAATAAACCCGTACATTTCTCAACATTTGTGTTTCTCCCGATACTATGCAAAGTCGACCCGTCTTGTTTCCGCAGACCGCATCACGCAGACGCTCCCATCAGAAGCATTACATCCGTTTCTATGCAAGCGTCACAAATAGGATATTTGTACCTGCAAAAGTAATAGGTAGACACAACAAAGATTCGAGTAATTACATTAAAAGCATGTCATTTTATAATTAGACAAAAATCCTTAATCAAATACATGCAAATGATAATACCTCCACTACTTCCCCGACTCCTTCGTTACCTCCGATTGCCGGAAACGTGGGTTTCAGCGCGTAAGTTCCCTGAATCATATTAATATCGGCCGGATTTATAGGCGCAGCCAGCATCTTGATCAGAACCTCGTTACCTTCGAGCTTCTTAAGGCTCTGCTCTTCCTTCTTGACAACCTTCAAAGGCTCGCCGTATTCTCTATAAACTAACGCCGACTTCATCCTCCTACAGAATCGAAGAGGAGAATGCCAACGTAGCGATCTCAACGTTACCTCCAGAAAAGTCACGTTGACCATGTTTACCGAAAGCGACACCTGTCGACGAATTATAGCATCAAAATAAATACTTCAAACTTTTTACTATTTTACGTATTTAAAAAAAAAAACGTTTACTAAAATAAAAATTAATTATAATTATTATAATTAATTATTTAAAACGTTTAAATAAATTAAGCTCGACGTTTCGACGCTTAATTAAAAGGGGGTGAGACGTGACGTAATTATAAAAAATAAAAAAAAACACACGCGATAATCGATCTAGTTAAGAATTTATATTTGAAATCGAATTAAATTTCGTATTATTTACTTAATTAATTTTAAAATAATTACGGCGAATTTTAATGGCGATTGCTTCGTCGAATACGAAACTAAGCGGAGCGGATACTCTCGTCGAATGCGGGTGTTGACGGAGCCAAGAAAATGGAGATAAGTCAGTCCTACTTGTTTTCCGTTAAATGCTGTAGAAAAGGCATCTGAAAGCGGTGAGTCGGGCGCTTTAAACTCTAATAAAGGTCCGTGATTCGATTACGGAACGTTGCACGGGGTCTCACCGACGTACTTTAATGGCCGATTCTTTAACCTTATTTGCCGGGTGTCCGCCTGGTTTACTTTCCTTTTTATTGTTTAAACTACGGAATAACCTTTCGTGTTTTGTTTGTCTTAAAGGTTAATCGATTGGTTTATCGTCGTGTTGCTTGCAGCGCGGGATTTGGCGGGTGCGCGATCCGTTTGTAATTGTTAACGCGTGTGTAATGGATTAATTTAATTACAATACGTCCGGTGACGTCGGCAGTGTGACGTTTCGTGCATAATTAATGAGCTGTAAGTGTGACGGATTGTTATGGGTTTTGATGTATATACGTTATCTAGTGCGTGTTTCTACTTTCGTGCTTAAATATACGAGGGGGAATGCGGTAGAATTTAGGGGAGACGAGTGTCCTTACTGCGCTAATTGTCATGGTTATTTAGTGGGACGACCCGGTTTCGACCGTCCCGCTCGTGGCCGGTCAAAGGGCCAAGTTTTAATCTTATGTATGGCTTTGTATTTGGCGAAGACGCGTATCTGATTCATCTCGTGCCTCTCGGTCGAGACGGGCGACTGAAGAAACCTCGGCCGTCGGTTAGTTACGAAATACCGGGTGTCCGAAAAGTTACCGTGCGGTGAGAAATTTGTATTGCGGACGAGACCCGTAAGTAGTCGGTCTCGCAATTTTCTTTTCGATATAGGGCATTACTGCTCTCTTGTGGACTATGGTTTCTGTAAAACTTCTTTGCCGATGGCAGAATCTGGCCTGTTACGTCTCTGCTGGATTTCGGGGCCTCAGGGAGACCTTTCTGGCATTTGCCGTAGGAGATACTGTAATGTCGTACGTAAAACTTCATTTTTAATGAAACTTAAATCTTTTCAGCCGAACGGTAACTTTCGGACCCCGTATTTTGCATTAATTAACTTGTATATTTCTTTTTTAAATTATAGCCTGCAAATTATGTATTGTATTGTTTATAGAATTACAAAGCTGAATTTTTTATTTAAGAAAATTTCTTTTATTTTAAACTGTTAATAGACCATTACTAATTGCTGTTTTTTTTAACAATTTTTTTCTTTTTTATTGTTGGATTATTTCGAGACGATGTTACGTTGTAGTAATTGAGTATCGCCAGTCAANTTCTAAATAAAATTTTATAATATATAATAAATAAAATATCCCAAACAATGTTTTATACATACATAAAATTGACTATGAAAGTTTATTGCAAAATTTATAAGTAATAAAAATTTATTTAGATTCAAGATGATTGTTTATGAATATCTTCCGATAAAATTTTATGTGAAATAAAAGAATTTATGTTTCACAGTTTTTTAAACTAGGAAACATTTCGGAACGAAAGAATATAGAAACATCCAACGATCGCCTAAATAATTAACGCAATATAGAAACATAAACGATCGTTTAAAATTAGCGCAATCGTAGCCTAAATCAGGCTACGATTGTGCTAATTTTAAATAATTAATACAAAGTAATTTGCCACTAGAGGTAGATGTTAGGTGCCATCTCTTAACTAAATTACTTTGTATTAATTATTTAAAATTTGCGCAATTCTAGTCCGATCATTTAGACGATTGTTGGATGTTTCTATATACTTGTCGGGCTTTCAGATGTATGTTATACAAAAAAGAATGTTTATTAATATTCTAAACTGTGAAACTTTATGGTTAATATTCAAAATAATGAGATTAATTGTTCTGAAAATGCTACAATAAAGAGTATAGATAAATATTTTGTTTTCTGACATAACTCACAACATAAAACAGATTATGAACGAGAAATGACTGTGTGTTGATGTAAACAAATTTAATAAAACAAAATTAAAACATTTAAAAGTTTTACTACTACTGTTGACAGTTTACACATGTGCCATTCTCAGATGAAGAATTAAAAAAAGTGAATGGTATGTTACAATTTGGTTGGAACCAGGTAGTTATTCCTCCTTTGTCTGGTTCAGCAAAAACAAAACTGCTGTAATACGTAGGGCGTCTCTACTCTTCATCCCAATAACAGTTAATGGTAGTTACAATGTATTTTCTCGGCAATTTCTTAAGCTGGTTACACTTAAGAATCTCAATCATAAGGTTCTACAATCTTTGAATCCTATTTCCACTATGATGATTAAGAAAAAGTATGAGTTTGTGGAGAGTTATTTGGATTATGTTTCTCTAGCTTGACCTGTCTCTTTTGTGTGATTAAGTAAACCATTTCTATTAGACCATAGCCAAACTTTCATTGCTTGCTTTGCAATGATAGTTTTGCTAGAAAAGTTGGAGATCCACTCAGTTATGCAGGTGCTGGCAGATGCATATGGGTTCCATTGAGGATTAACTTGACACATTAAAGAACAAAGAAGTAAAGTAGGCCGAAAACATGACCAAGTTGTCTAGAGTAGCCTTATCCTCATTATTTGAGCCCATTTGGATAGAAATGTGACTCCTCTATCAGTGCACCCTACCAAAAACTGCTTTGTATATGACAAGCATTACATATCACCTGATGAACCATGCAACTCTCCTATATTAGAATCTCCCAGGGAATTGGCTCTCCCTTTATAAATTACTTAGTTGGTGCTTTGGTTATTATTTGCTGTGTTCTGCCAGTTCTTTTGGATTAGGTAGAGCATAGTCACATTAACCTTTCTACTTTCTGGTTACAGCTTCAGCCATTTTTGGTTATCACTTTTGTTTATACATGCAAATTTCACTTACTCCATTTTAATCTCTTACTTTTGTCTTTGTTCTATTGTTTTTTTTATTATAAAATACAATCCAATGATTTAATAAACAAGTATACAAACAAAAGACAATCAAAATACAATGACATAGCAGTGTGTTCGAGGTCAAACAATGGAATTGAAATTGGCTATCCGACAGGCTTTATGCTGGCAACAGTGATAATAGCAGAGAACATAAAGTATTTTGTGTTTTTTGGTGTATTGGCTTGCATTTCTATAAGAGACATCCTATTTAAAATTACTATGAATTACAGGCTTAAAGCAAATAAAACTTCATTAATGACAATAATTTGAATATATAATCAAATACATTTCCAAGCTATTACAATACTTTTTTTTAATGTTAAATTGATTTAGTTAGTTAATTTTATTAAAAAATTCATGAAATGGCAATACACTTATTACTAATCAAATTGCACAATAATTTATAGCAGCATAAAAGTCCCAAAAGATACATGTGTCAGAATAATAATTAATAAGTTTTATATACACAGGGTCTTCCAAAATGAATGAAATCATTTTAAAATTACTATAATTATGTTTTATCTGAGAAGTAGGTGACATATGCCAATCAAGAGAGTTTAACTGCCTGAGTTTTGTCTTCCATCCACATTTAAATGTCTCTTCTTCTATGTCTAGGAGGCACCGTAAATGAAAATACAATTCTGCTACAGAGAAAATGTTTTGTCGGAAAATTCAGAACAAAATGTTTTGTGTTCTGTAGTTTGCAAAATTGGAATTGCCTGTTGCGCAACACAAGTAATCCATAGGGGATGCCATGGGAGGAGAGACTATAGATATGCTTTGGAAGAACAACCTCTTCCAAGGCATATTTGCATGCATTGAGAAACTAATGGGCAAATGTGAAACTTGGATTGTTTTCCAATGTTTTAATGAACATTAAGACATTCTTGGATAATAATTAAAATAATTACAATAATTTAAAATGGTATTGTTCTTTTTGAAAGACCATGTGTATAAAATTTGAACTCAATTATGTATATACTAGCAAATAAGCCTGGCATTGCTTGGGCAAAATGTAACGATAGCAAAGATTAAGATTATTACATTATAGCCAATCTTACCTGTTTTCACAGAATGCAAGAATTAGTTTCCCTGTTTCCAGACTAATTAGAGAACTTTTAGATGGATCTAAAAATATATTTGATTTTCCACAAAAATGCAAAAAAGATCACATCTGCGCCTGTTAATCTTGCACACCGCTTTCTCTTAACACTTCCATTGTTAACACTTCCCCCACGGGGATTACGAAAAATCCCTTCTTAGTGTATGCACCTTATTAAAATGCAATCAAAAACACAAAAAACCACATCTAAAATAGTACAGTAGAAGCAGAGTTCTTCAGGGTAAGCCTTAATCCTCTCTCTCCCTCTCCCCATGGAGGGGAATTTCAAAAAATCCTTTCTTAGTGTATGTTCTCATGACAGTCATGACTGTGTACTAAATTTCAACTTTCAACTCCTAACCGTTTGGGCTCTGCACTTATTATTATTATTCCATCTCGATTATATATATATAGATAAACTCTGTATGGGATTATAGAACAAAAAATTTTACTGTTTTGTTGAATAAGAATGATCATCTAAACAAAGAATTGATGAGATAACCAATACACTCCAACTCCATTGCAGCATAGTGTTTGAGGATCCAAGACTCCAAACCATGATATATCTGGCATCTCAGATAAAAATAGGAAAATCATGTTGTAATTGATTTAGATTTTCTACCATAACTATTGTAAATTATTAGTTATACATTTAGAACAGTTATACATCTTAAGACCCAAACATTCATTTTAATGGATTAAATAGGATTAAGGTCCAGGATAATTGTATAGTGAAGTATGGTTACTGTTACTGTAGCTCGAAGAAGCCCAAACAATGTCAATTAGTTTAATTATTCCAATTGTAAGATGAAGGAGGATATGCTTCTTCCTTGCAAAAAATGTTAACAGAGAATTTTATTGACAACTTTTTTACCGCGTTGTCAATAAAAGTGCACATCTCTCTCTTCAAATAGTCATAGTCTAAATTGGCCGACAAATTTTAACGTAGAATATAGATAGAATCAATATATCTCTGCTAGTAGAGAATAACTGAATGTACCAAATGCTATTTAGATGTTATCTGTAATGATATCAGTCTCTCTCTCTCTGCTCTGTTACTACTATTACTTTCTTAATGTGGATGTGCATTTAAGGTTGATCATTCTTAACTTTCTAGAATTGCTTATGAATTAGTTCAATAAGTAAATTGGAGACAAGATAAACACAATAAAATATTTAATTAAAAGTAAAGAAAAGGAAGTATAATGATATAATTAAGCTGTGCGTCTTGAATTGCAGGAAATTTTGTCTTTAATAAAGCACTTATTTCCATAATTCTACTTAAAATATAAGAAAAAAAAACATTTTAACTTGTTGACTTTGAGAAGAGTTTTTTACAAAGTAAATTTCGTAAATATCCCGTTGTTATAGAACGTATTTAGTATGAAGCCAGACGATCCATCAAATTATCGGGCTATAATATGGCTAAGTTAATAATTAGATATGAAGTAATTTGTCTAGAGGTAGACGTTTAAGCTGCCGTCACGATAATTATAATAAATAAATTCTAATTTAGAATTTCTAATTATTAACTTACCCTTATTATAGCCCGACGATTTGGCCGATTGTCCGACTTTTATCAAAAATCGGATTTGTAGAGTATTTAGCACATTATAATTAATATTTTATGGAAGTTTTCTTGTTTTTCCAAAGATATTTGGTTTAAAAAAAATTCCTCAAATTTCCAATCTGCTATTCTTATATATATGTAAATATTTATTTAAAAAATTATTCAGCGACTACTCATTAACGAGGAAAAATTGAAAGGGGGTCGACATAAATTAATTTCTCAATTAATAAATTCTCGCTGAGGTTTTTAAATTTAAATTTACCAATTTAATCTCGATACGCCAATTAATTTATTAACCGTTTATTAATAAAAAATCAAGGTCGATTTTATTTTTATAGATTCTTTACTCTGTACGATATGCTATTTGCATGAATTATTTTATAAAGTATTTGTAATGTTATAATTGAGAAAAAAAAATCTAATATTTATATATCAAATAATTTATATTTGATAATTGATAACATTTTTATAATCTGCAAGATTAATTCTTTGGCAAATGTTTTGTAACTGCAAACGTAACTCGATACTAGTATACCAGCAGATGTTTTACATTATGTTCTATTAGTAGACGATAAAGGTTTAATTCTACTCGACGATAAATTGTCAGAGCGAGAGTTTAAACTTATATCTGAAATAATAATGTAACTATGTAAGATAGTGTTTAACAATCTATTATTATTTAATCTAGTTAATTAAATATAAATTATTAATAAATAGAATATTATATACACATAGGTAACTTTTATTTTGTTGTATATTAAAATTATGTGATTTTTAATATATTTTACTAATCGAGATATGTAATTATTTTTTGGCCATTCTTATTAGCAAATTATTTATTTATAAATTTGCGTGTGTACGTATGAAACACCTTGTACAGTACATGCGCAATATGTGCATGTGTACAAGGTGTTTCATGTCAATAACTCAGAAAATATGCTTTTGAAAGAAAATTCGTAAGAGTTTATTATTTTTTAATACAGAATCCAAAGCTATAAAAGAAATTGGGGGATCGTTTGAAATTTCAAAGTTGTCCTCCAGAAAGGAGGATGGCAAAGATTTATTTTTACGAAATTAAAAAGGTCCTTCGAAAATATTAAACTTTTATTCTTATCGATCTTTTTATTAGTAGCATATTTCCCGAGTTATTGACTTGTAACACCGTATTCGAAACATCCCATATATGCATTCATGCACGAATACATTTTGTGTGCGCTCATGCATGTGTGCAAGCGTACACGTGCACGTTCATATAAACTATATTGGCATCACTCATTCATATGAAATGTTTGTGTAGAGATAGTCTACAAATGCTAAAAAGCAGTGTTTGAGTAGAAGCAGACTTCTCCACAGGAAGATAAAATGGTATAGTTGAAAGAGCATGTCGAATATGTTATCGAGCGTTTGATTATTATAAGCATCGTCTGCATATTTTTAAAGATGCGTATTTTTATTAACTTGCTTCAAATTTCTTTCGTAAGTTAAAACATTTCGTTTAGCCTTGCCATTGTTGATTCTTTATTAAACTTTAAACGTTATGTATAGTTATTTCATCATTAAAAATGTACAGACAAATATTCTGCTGGATTAATCCAAAAATTTGTATTTCTCTACAGAAATGCTTTTAGTTTTCTCGAATTCATCATCATCCCAAGCAGAACAGTTAATCAATCAATACGTATAAAATTAAACTTGTTTACCCTTAAGTTACAACATAAATATGGTGTGTTGTGATGTAAAACATCTGGATTGGGCTACCAAAGACTGTTAAGGGTGAAACTGCTGGTATAATTTATCAATATATTTTTTATAAGGCCGTGATTCTCAACCATCATTTTGTGGAGTGGTGAAAATTTATGGCAAATTCATTCTAATGTATTACTTTATTCGAGCCAGTTCTACGTTTACTATTTTATCCGATACAATAAATTTTATTTATTCGCTTCTGAGAATAGTAAAAGTGGAATTGTTTATCAATTTTTGAATATATTCGTGCTAATGATCTGCATAATAAGTGTATGAATAGCATATTAAGATAAATGTAGAACATGATTCTTAGCACAGTCATATTTAACTTAAAATAGTAATTGACACAGTTGTTTGATAGGTAGGAATACGTGCACACGTATTGATTACCGTACGCCTTGTCTCATTAAAAAATCAATAATGTGCGATTAAATTTATTCTTATAACCTTAATCTGGATATAGCTATTGAATGTAGTGGTTAAGTATAAGAAATATATAATTATTTTCATTTTATTTATACTTTGGCCTGTTAAATACACTACTATGAATATCGGGTGATAATGCTTATTCCGGCAATTCTTGACATACGGTTCGGGCTGGGCGGTCTGCGGACTGACCTAGTCTTGTTTCTGCAGTTCTGTCTGTTTAGCCGGAGAGAAGTATTTTCGTGCATTTTGTATCTTATGATAGCTTACCGGATGGATAGTACTTTTGCACACGATCTGTCGTTATTTAAGGTAATATTTACTGGATAAGGAGCAGACGGGGTGTAGGTGGTCTGCGGATTGTTGCTGTCGAGAACTATCAGTTTAGTCACTATAAATAACTCGTTCGTGTTAATGTTGCGTATAAATTTTAAGTAGAAAATATTTATCGACAACTGAAGTTTTTGTATATATTAAATACATGAAAGTCGAATAGTTATAAATTAGTGTTATTCCATTTAGTAATTTAAAAATAATGGTCTTAAAACTTCTTTTTGTATAGAAATATGATGTGTTAGCGTGAACGAGAAAGAAAACAGGAATGATGCCCATAGGAACAGATCTTTGGAGAATTGCTCCGGAAGCGAGAGCAAAGTTTGACGAGCAATTCTTCCAATTGAAGCCCGTCAATGGATTTATCACTGGTTGGTTTAATTTCTCTGATTTGAAATTTTCTATTATTTATTAAATTAAAAATTATAAATGTTTAATTATTATTTTAACACTAACTATTTTGATTTAATAGTTAAAACATGGTTCTTTTTAAATAAATTTATTTGAACTTTCTATACGATAGATCAAAAACAAACAAACTGGTTTTAACTATCAAAGCGGAAGCTGGTTAAGATTGATAATTGCTTTAGATAGATAATAATTATGAGTTTATTAATAAAGTGTAGAAGCATACTATATTTAAAAGTATTTTTAGTCTTTCAAATCATCAGAAAATAATTTATTAATTCGGATATATAATTTTTATACTTGTCAAAATGTAAAAAAGCAATAGTAATTTTTAGAGTTTTATTTAAAACTTTAAATATATTATCGTATGTAAATCTGTGGCAACAAACTAAATTTAAAGTATCAGTTTACAATTTAATAAAAATACGATTTGTTCATTATATTAACGTACATTGTTGTTTTTCAGGAGATCAAGCAAAGACGTTATTTCTTCATTCTGGTTTACCTCCACAAATTTTAGCTCATATATGGTAAAGTCTATTTTTTTAAAGTTACTAATCCTACGAATTGGTGTATAATCGGCTATAACTTAATTTGTATGGCAGAGAGATTTTCTTAAACTATTTTAAGATAAATCAATAATAATTCTATAATTAAAATAACATTCAAACGTCTGTTATTTTAAGTAAAAATCACCTACAGTGGAATTTCGTAATAATGAACTTTTCGATTTTCCCCGACCCAATCTCCATAGGAACCCAGAGTAGAAAATTTTTGGTTGCATGAACTTTCAGTTAAATAATTTAGTAACGACATCGATGAATGAACAGCAGTATGAAATTATTTAGTTAATGTTTGATCAAACTGTTCTGGAAAATTACTTTTAATCAGTGCCGAAGGTCAATTAATGTTTACTAAGTAATGGCTGAACTTTAATCTTACAATATAGCAATTTAATGAGGTTTAATGGTACAATGATATCTGTTAGTAGGAGATAGAAGTTGCATGGAGCCATATATGACAAATAGGCTAGGTGATCAATTACATTGATGATGTGATTAGCTAAGATGTGCTTCAGACAAAGCAATGTGTCAGTGTGTTGTCATGGTATAAAATTAAATTTTCTCCACAATTCTGGTCATTTCTTTCTCATACGTTTGTGCAATTTCTTTGAGAATTTTGATCATCTGGCTGCTGGGAACCCACTCTTCCATTACAATGTCCAGGATATTGAAGAAAGCAGTCGACTTGACCTAAACGTTCTCTGCCTTCCGAAAATAGTTTGTGCCATTTGAAAATGTATACACAACACACTTCATTGTAAGCTTTAGTTAATAATTGAAGTTTCCATTGTGGATTTCTTCGAGAAACTTGATACTGATTTGCTGTTTACTCTCGCACTCCAACATTAATTGACCGAGAGTAAGAAAACACATCCACTCGTGTCAAGTAAAATCAATGGAGACGGGCTTTCTCTCTCCCCTCTCATACTTGGTTCCCAAGCTATAGGGTTAGTTTCATTTTTTTTTGTATTGGATCTCATAGAAGTAAAAATAATGCTTGTATATTTTTATATGATATAAATGTTCCTTATGCAGAATTTGATTTCTAGAGAATTTAAGTTGAGATTATCTACAATCTGATATAATTTTATAACTATAAATACAGTAATTATAATATAGTAAAAATAACAATACTAGCTATGACTATTTATGTAAATTTCACGTAGATAACACTATAAATTTTTTTCACAGGTCGCTAGCGGATATTACAGCCGACGGAAAAATGGATAGACACGAGTTTTCTGTAGCCATGCACCTGATTCAAATGAAACTGAAAGGTTACGAGTTACCGAAAGCCTTACCTCCATCTTTAAGAACTCCACCACCCCCTATGCCAGCCATGAGTAATTTTAGACCATCTCAACCTTCTATGGGAATAGGTAATGAACATACATATAACTTTGTTAATTGTTATTTGACGACAACAACGATGATACACTTATGTTATCATCATAGAAAGATAACCAAGATCACTGCAATGATCTTTTACATTTCAAAGAATTTATAAGGGACATTCTTAAATTAGCAACTTACTATTGCAGAGGCTGATAGGTAGAAAGTAAATTTATATTTACAGTAGAATTCCGATCCTTTAAATTGATTTGTTCTGCAGGTGATTTGGATAAGCGGTTTAATGTGTAGAGAATGAAATTACATGGCAATGTCACATACCATGTTTATTTGTCAATGTGTGAGTAGCATCCTACTGATTGTTTGGATCTGTCATGGCAAATATATGTCACTGATTATGCACTTCCATGATGTAAGAGAATTGCAGTGCGATGGTGGAGGGCAAGTGGATTTTTGGGTAACTGGACACTCGGTTAATTGGCATTTAGACAGTTGGACTTCTACTCCAACTGTCTAAATGCCAATTTGATGTAATTCTCACTATCTGGCTGCTTAGTAAAATTAATACACACTCCTTTTTGGTATTTTAAAACTGTTATAAATTTAAAAATTACACTGAATTAATAATTAAAATATACGAAACTTGAAATATTAAGAAGCAATGGTATTATTATTGAACCATGTTTATTAATTATTATAGGACCAGTTCCAAGTGCTATACCATCGGCAGGATTTATTCGTTCAGCTTCTCCAGTGGATGCGAAATTGCAGAGATCAGGTTCAGTTAGCAGTCAGGACTCGCCCACGTAAGGAAATAATTTTTCTAACATTCGAATTTGGTTAGTCTTGTCGATTAAAAATAATAATTTCTATTACAGAGGAGTTCCTCCACCACTGACTGAATGGGCAATACCTCAGCAATCTAAATTGAAGTACACGCAGATATTTAATTCTCTCGATCGTACTCGAAGCGGGTTTCTGACCGGAGCCCAAGCTAGACATCTTCTCATGCAGTCTGGTTTACCACAAGGAGTTCTAGCTCAAATATGGTAAGTTTTATGCGACCTCTTTCAGAAATCTTAAGTAATACAAACGCTTCTGAATCATTTAATTTTAGGAATTTATCCGACATCGATCAGGATGGACGTTTGACCTGCGAAGAGTTTGTGTTAGCTTTGCACTTGACTGACAACGTAAAAGCCGGTGACACGCTTCCTTCTTCCCTTCCTCCGGAACTCATTCCTCCATCTCATCGCCGTAAACGATCTGCAAGTGTTCAATCAAGTACGATATCTTTGTGTATTAGAGTGAAATAATTTTTTCGTTATAAATACTATCCAATTATTAATATTTATAAATATATTAATAATATCTTGTCCTCTAATTCATATTTTTTAATAAACTCCTAGACTGGGGATGGTGAACNGTCCGCAAAAAACAGATGGCGATTAACTTATTAAATTTTGTATTATTTACTAAAGTTTACAATATTTCCGCGTTTTCTAAACCTATACTTCCCTGTGTAATTCGCAACAGACTAACAAACGTGTACTAGACTTAAAAACGTTTAAATTTATAATTAACAGTCCTCTAATTCATATTTTTTAATATGCTCCTAGACTGGGGATGGTGAACCTTTTTGAGTACATGTACCATATAGCATACATGCTTATCTTTAAAAATTTTTATAATTAACAGTCCTCTAATTCATATTTTTTAATAAACTCCTAGACTGGGGATGGTGAACCTTTTTGAGTACATGTACCATATAGCATACATGCTTATCTTTAAAAATTTTTAGAAGTTTTAGATTTTCATTTCTTTGAACACTGTTAATAAAACAAATATGCTTTAATTAGAATAAATGTAAAGCTGATTAGGAAAAGAATGATTGGGTGATAAACCAAAAGGATGATCAAAAAACAAAAGTGATAAACCGAAATCGCATGTTACGTTACGTGCCAGATGATTTTTTAGACGTCACTTTGGGCATGTGTGCCATAGGTTTGCCATCCCTGCCCTAGACAATATTTTCTTCTTTTGATTCAATTGCATTGAAAAATTCCAAATATTCAGAAGAAAATGGCTAGTGTGAATAACTACTAGACACCATGTTTGTCTTTGTTCTAGAAAATTTTATGCTAAAGTTTGTTAGACTCACAAAACCTTGTAGAAAAAATTTTCTATATCTGTCAATAGAGTCCCTGAGCTGTCTGTAATGTTTTACATTTGTCCATAAATATGTGAGCCTATTATGATGAGACAAACTTAAAGAATGTGTGTGTACATACTTATGGTATACAGCGCACTATGTGTATTTACGTGTACTACTTGTCAAAGGGTTATAATAGATCTGACATTCTAATTTTATATATATACTAGCAAATAAGCCTGGCATTGCTCGGGCAAAAAGTAACGATAGCGAAGAGTAAGGTTATTGCATTATAGCCGATCTTACCCATTTTCACAGAATGCAAGAATTAGTTTCCCTGTTTCCAGACTAATTAAGGAACTTTTAGATGAGTCTAAAAATATATTCGTTTTCCCACAAAAATGCAAAAAACCACATCTGCACCTGTTAATCTTGCACATCGCTTTCTCTTAACACTTCCATTGTTAACACTTTCCCCATGTGGGGGGATTACGAAAAATCTGTTCTTAGTGTATGCATCTTATTAAAATGCAATCAAAAACACCAAAAAACCACATCTAAAATAGTACAGTAGAAGCAGAGTTCTTCAGGGTAGGCCTTAATCCTCTCCCTCTCCCCCCGTGGGGAGAATTTCGAAAAATCCTTTCTTAGTGACGTACCCTATGTACCAAATTTCAACTTTCAACTCCTAACCATTTGGGCTCTGCGCTTATTATTATTATTATTATTATTATCAACCCATCTCGATTATATATATATGTGTGTGTGTGTGTGTGTGTGTTGGTGTGTATGTGAAGCATGATTTTGTTCACTCTCTTTGAAACTTAATAACTTTTGTGCTTTTTGTTGAAAATTTCTGAAATTTTTCAGGGAGGTTTGCATATTAGGGGCATTGATGCTATTAAATTTTGGTGGTTAAAGATTGAGTGGATGGGGAGATAAAAGGGATCATATGTCATATCTTGAGTATGGTCAAACTTAATGATGATTTTATTCACTATTAGCATTTAAATTTTTTATGAAACCTACTCTCAAAATTAAGCTTTTTGCCATTTTATAGTAATTAAAAGTAAAAATGTTCTTAATAATATAACACAAGGTATCACACACATGGTTTTAAATGTTGCCAGGAAAGTTAAGCAACTCACTGCTGGTTTTTTTGTTGAATTATTGGGTTAGCATTTGCGCTTATATTCAGAATATTTAAGAGCTAGTTTATAAACATGATTTCATTCAATTTTAGTGTATTCGGTTATTTGTAAATGTGTTTGTTATTGGCTATGTAAATTTGCATATAGACACAAATCCAAATTATTTATCTAATTATAGATACATATTTGAAGATGATAAGATGAGTTTTTTTTAGGAAATTCATTTAAATAAATTTGGTGCTAATTTTTACTTTTAAAAATACCATATTGCCTCGAATATTAGTCAATATTTTTTCTAATTTTAGAGGCAAAAAATTGCTCTCAGTCTGTTATATTTGAGCCTAGACTTACATTAATGTCTGATTAAAGTATTCTTTGATTTAGATAACTAGCTGTGGTACGTGTTATACAGAGGTAAACTGATGTTAAAATTCAGTGTGTTGATTGTTTAGCAATGTTGAAAGTCAATTAACGGGATCTGTTCTGCTGCAGCTTATAAACTACGTATGAGAATTAAGTGTTTAGCACCATTGTAAATAATCAAACTAAGCAGATTGTTATTATCCCGTTCGACGGAATTGGTCAGTTTTGGTAACATTTACAGGAATTTTATTTTATTCCTTATTTGAGTGATTGTCAGAAGTTACAGGAATGTTACTAAGAATTCATCATGGAATTTACTGTGTTGTAATTATAAATTTGTATTATAATCACATTAAATACACATATTTACAATTATGTTTCGGACTATATTAAAATGCTTTAGATGATAACAAAACAAAGCTTCAGTTTAGTTTTTAATAAATTATAATGCAGTTTTTTAAAAATCCAACACACACAAAATAAATATAAATATATATATATATATATTTTATGGCATTTAAAATTTTTCTTTTAGTAATTTCTTATTCTTTTTGCAGCCAGTTCTTCATCTAGTCACAATTTATTGGGAGAAATTCCCGTTTATTCCGATATGAAAGAAGAAGAAAAGTTGAAAGCGCAGGGTAATTATATTTAAAAGTTACGCGGAACTTTAGAATTACATTCCATCGAATATTACCGACACTGTTGTTTCAGCTACTTTTGAAGACAAACGCAGAGAAAACTTCGAAAAGGGACAGGCGGAGTTAGAGAAACGAAGGCAAGCTTTAGTAGAAAGTCAGAGAAAGGAACAAGAAGAGAGAGAACGAAAAGAAAGAGAGGAACAAGAGAAGAGAGAACGTATTAGGTAAGGTTTTTAAAATTATTTTATGACGTATAGAACATCTACTTTGCATCAAATTGTTTACGGAAACCCCAATTTAATTTTATTACACAAATATCTTTTTCAATTTAATATTTCTGATTTGATATGTCGATTCTAAATTGAGTTGCACTAAGCTTTCCTAGGGATTCGATTATATTTCTAGAGCTTTAATAATCCAAAAATTGAAAAAAGTTATTGTGTGTACTTTTAGTTGGTTTATTTAGTTGTGGCAATGTGACAAGTGTGTAATCTGCCAAGGTAGAATGCCTCCCAGGAAGAATTTTATGGAAAACTTGTCCCTATTTATGTGTTACTTTTATGTTGCAGTTCTACAGGTTTTTTTATAGAAATCTCTTTTTAGATAATAACTAACAGCTCCATATTGCGTGTTTTTTGTATTGGAATGGAAATTTTCTCATATAGTGATTTGAATTGGCAATTTTCATGTTGCTTATGTAATAGTTATTGTATAGTCTGCTCCAAGAAAGATTTCGTATGTTTTAAAAGGAGACAAAATTAACGACAGATTGATTTGTAAGTTCAGGAAATAGATATTAAGATAGAAAAATCTATATCATTATGCTTATGTTTAGTAAATTTGGAGTATATGAACATACTAGTGAATGTTCTAAGTTCTGGACTGACTTTGTTTCATTTTAGTTTATAAATTTGTGTAATACTGTAAACTGTAAAAGAAATAATATTTTATAGTTAAGAATTACTGGTTAATTTGCAATGGCATGATTTCAGCATAATAGAACTGATAGATACAATATAACATATTTAGAAACTGTATTGTAATTTATGTAAGTAGAACATTTAGCTGCAAAGTTACAGTGTCATGGCTGGTCTGTAAAAAATAATGATGATATGAAATAAAAATTGACATAATATTTTGTGTTGAAACAATAAAATGTATCGAACAGTAATATATCTATATAGATACTTAATTTTATTTAAAAAAAGTAACTGTGTGCAAGATTTTCTTTAGAATCTTTGTCGTTAGATGAAAACACAACAGATTTTTTCAAGGCTGCTTGTTCTACTTCATCACTATTGAGTGATGGACCGTTTAATGTTTACCTAACGAAATTGCTCTCGCCGGTAAAATTATTTTCCGAGTTTATAATTTTCCCTTGGTGTTGGTAAACTTGTAAAAAGGCTTTGTCACTTTATTTAAAAAATAATAAATTCCAAAGAACAACAAAAAATGTTTGAATGATGGGGAGAAAGTTCCTTTAAATGACAAAGTAGATACTTCGCAACAGATTTTTTCCCTGTAGTCCACTGTCAGAGTTTTTATCCTCCATTGTGTAAATTATGGCAAGTTCCAATGGTAGGTCGATGACAGGGCAGATAAAAATTCCTACTCGCCTATGGGAATAGGTCTGTTGCAAGATGTTTACTTTGTCAGTTAAAGGAACTTTTTTTTATTGTTCTTTGGAATTTATTTTCTTCATTAGTATATACCAGAAGTGACCAAACTTTGTCACAATAGAAGCCATTTACTACATATCAGAAATATTCAAGAACCGCATCCTGTATTAGACCGTGTTTTAACCTATATACTGCATGTATGTAATATATATAATTAGGATTGGCTCTGATATATGGAAGCTGCAATAAAGATCGAGAAGAGCCGCAGTTTTGCCACAGTGACTATATAACATCTCTCTGGATTTAATTTTATATGCGATAAAAATAAAGTTTCTACATTATTAACAGACAACAAAATCAAATTATTGCACAACAATAACTTTTTCATTATGAAATTCATGGCTCACTTACAATGCATGCGATTGTTTGTGTTCGTAAGCGGTAAAATACTGTTTACTACTATATTTACAACTCAGGTATTGTAAGTAATATAATCTTATCCATTTGTTGTGATACTATTTATAAGGCTAACTAAAATATTAAGGAAATATAATACTGTATTTTAATATTTCTAAAAAGAGTTTTTAGTTGGAATATTATAAACTCCCCAAGTATATTTTCAACTTCATTGTTAATGAGATGAACGAATGGCTATTACTGTTGTGTAATTTACAACAGTGATATTCTAGAATAACAAACAGATCTTGTTTAGTTGATCCTTTCTAAGATAAAACCAAAATAAAATTTTTTAGGATAAAAGTACATTGGTGTTATATGCAGATACAATTTTAACTGGAAAACTATTTTCAGACAAGAACAAGAAAGAAGGCGTCAGTTAGAATTAGAGAAGCAATTAGCCAAGCAGCGTGAACTCGAACACGAGAAAGAAGAACAGCGTCGTAAAGCCCTGGAACAAAGAGAGGTACTGTGCCTACTTTCGGTAAAGAACGGTAATAATTATTCGGAAATTTACCTTGTCTGTTGCAATTTAAAGGCCGCTCGCAGAGAAATGGAGAGACAGAGGCAGTTGGAATGGGAAAGACAGCGATGTCAGGAGCTGTTGTCGCAAAGGCAAAGAGAACAAGAGAACGTCTGTCATATGAAAAATAGAAATAAAAATCTGACGTTTGAATTAGAAGAGCTAGTATGCAATTTGGTTAAAAATTTTTAAAAAATAGAATTTCTGTAACATACATTTAACTTTAAAAAATTAATGTAGAACAACAAGATAAACGAAATGACTCAAAGCGTGGCAGAAACAAGAAAAGGAGTTGCAGATATGAAATCGTCTATAGATAATATGAGAACTACAAGGGATACAAAATTAGCAGAGTTAAATTCCATCAAACAACAATTAAAAGTCAGTATAAATTTAAAATTATATATTTTTTCAGTTATGTTTCTTGATAAAGTTGTCAATTAATTAACAATTAATAAATCTGTCAAAATTGATCACATTTTACATCATAAGACAAAGTAAATGTGTGCTTATATACACACACATTATGAATAATATGAATTGAAATATTCATATTTAATTTGGTGGTTGATAAATTTGGGAATAAAATAATTTAGAATTGCATAAAATAACAAGGGTGCTTCAAAAAGTTGTTAACAGTTATGTAGAGATGATGTGCAGTCACGGTGGCTGTAGTAGTGGGGCCATACTTTTCCGAGAACTCTGCAATCAGGTTATGTTTGAGAAGACACGACGGAGAACAATGCACAGGATAACCTGCCATTATAAGTCTTACATGATGAATTACTTCTGTACTAGTGTTAACAGTTTTTTTGAAGCATCCCGTATGTGTCTTTGCGATTTGAATTGAACTACAACATAAAAGTTTTTCGTCACTAAGGTAAGTGCAGTTTAATTGATCAAATAGGAATTTTGTTAATCTCAAAAGGTTTCAAACTAAGGCAAAAATCAGCAAATAAATATTTACAGATCTATTAATTATTTCAATATAAATATAAGCTTCAAACATTTTATGTATTTTCATGTGTTGTTGAAGTACATAAATTATTAGGTCATTGACAATAATGTTTGTGTTGTAAGTGTTAAACCAACAAAACTGATCTTTAATTAATTAAATTAAATAACTATTTGGATAAGAATTAAGCTGAAAAATATTAAGTTCTTTTGTAGGTTTTATTTAAAAACTTAATTTGTATTTTATTAGGATGTTAACGATCGCCTGTTGCTTCTGAATCAAGAAAAGTTAACTCTTATGGGACAGTTAAAATCGAATCAGAATGTTTCAAATCCAGCAAGTAAGCATTTACGTATTTATGTATAAAATGCAATAGAATGCGTATTTTATTTATTAGCTATAAATAACAATGCTTGTTTTACGCAGACGAATCTTATAACATTATTATGCATAATTTTAATAACAAACAAATCACCCTGCATCAGTTACGCGACACATTAACAAATGTGGAAAAAGAAGCGACTCAAAAACTGCAGGATTTAGATAAAAGTACTGCTCAGCTGAAGGTAATAAATTAATATTACGATTAACCAATAATGTAGATTTAATTAACAATAATAACGATACTTATGTATTAAATTAGGAACTTAAGCAACAACTTTCTGATCTTGTTCAAAATACCGAAAAGCTTCAACAAGTTTATCTACAGAAACGGCAGGAAGTATTAGATTTAAAGAAACAAAAAGAAAATAATAAAGGAAATGCTTTTGTCCAAGAAAAAAGTAAGAAATTTTAGATTAAAAAATAACCTCTATATTGTTTTTTAATCATGTAAATGTTTATTTGAAACAAAATAGTGCAATATGTTTTGCACAAATATATACATTATTTTTTATTACACAAACAAATGCACTCATGCACCAATTGGAGCACATGATACAGAAAGGTAACATATTACAATTTAGTTATTTTGAGATAATGAGCAAAATAACAGTAAGACAAATGGGTGATTTGAGGCAGATCTGCCTCAAACTCATTTATAATTGCCTTACAGTGAAGGATCATTATTATTTTTCTACTTCGTTATGTTTCTCAATATAAGATGGTTAAGACGGAACACTTTAATCAATTTTGTCCAGTTTTTAATTACACTTTTTCTTCATGTTTGCTTTAATTATAATATACAGTGTTCTCTCAGAGTCAGTTTTAGCCTATCAATCAGTTAAATATTTCCTCTGACCATTTAAAAATATTAAATTTTATTTAATATTTTTTAACTATGGCAATATATATTTCAATTACATATTATGATTTAATTTGCAATTGAAATTTATATGACAGCCAGCTGATATTGTGTGGTGTTATAAAATGTTTTCGTGGATAGAACACTGATACATACACGAGGTCTTCCAAAATAAATGTTACCATTTTAAATTATGGAATTATGTTGATTGTTATCAGAGAAATACGTGACGCACACCGTCTGCATTCGGACGTATCGTCACTATCTCTAAGAGGCATAGTAAATGAAAACAATGACTCTGCAGCAGAGATGTTTTCTGTGGTTTGCAAAGCCAAAATTGGTCTTTGTTACGCAACCCAATTAATCTGCAAGAGCTATAGAATTATGGCTTTCTTGGGAGGAGCAACAATGGATATGCCAAGGTAAGCTTAAGAAGAATTTGAGCGGCAGTCAAACGTGTGCCACGTAATGGTGCATGCATCGAAAAATTCTAACAGGCAAATGAAAAACTATAACTGTTTTTTGATGTTTTAATATATGTTACAACATTTTTGTATAACAAACATTTTCAGTTTAATCTATTTTATTAATTGATCTTACTGTAAATTACAATTAATGTTAATTTATAAAGGAAAGTTTTCAGTGATATCTATAATTATTAATTAATATTAGTATTTTGATTTACGTTAGACTATGCTTAATTTATATTTTCAATTATTCAGCTAATCAGTTCGATGTTTGGGGGGATGGAAACGTAGAACCGGTATCCGACAGTTGGAATGGTAAGCAATCTTGTAATTTTTTAAAATTATAGATTTGAAATTTATGCATGGTCTATGAAATAAGTTTTTTTTTATTTCAGCATTCACCGTTCCCGCGGAAACAATATCGGATGCCTCGGTACAGAATACTACCGACGTAAACGAAAACATCACTCTCAAAGTAACGAAATATAGAGCAATATACGCATTTGAAGCTAGAAATCCAGATGAACTTTCAATTATGCCAGGAGATGTTATATTAGTAAGTCAATGTATCAACAGTAATGAAAGATTTAAGAAAATTCTATAGTTATAGTTAAAATTTATAAAGAAATAAATAAAATCTTGCCTATTCTGATAAAAAGGTTCCTGAAGGACAGAGTTCAGAACCAGGCTGGTTGGGAGGAGAACTTCACGGCAAGAAAGGATGGTTTCCAGAAGCTTACGCGGAAAAGATCGAAAGCACGGCCGTTGGCGAAGATAAAGGAATCATGGATATATCTTCAAGCACTAATATAAATACGACGGCAGAGACTGTTCACATAGTGGGGACAGAGATGAAACTTAAGCTTGAGTATGAAGATTTATTATATATTACATTTTATGTACAACCCAGGCAAAAAAACAACCTTGGATAGCATGTTATTTTAATCAATCTCTAGCTTACCCCTTCAATAATATCAAACAGAAAAATTTTGTATATTTATAAATATTTTATATTAGTAAACTTTTATTATAACTGAAAATTTTCATGTTGATAATACAGAAAAAAAGTTATGAGCAGTTGAAAATAGTATGTGCAACTAAAAAAAAGTAATTTCTGACAAATAACACCTCAGATAGTGCATTAAATGACGTGTTCCTAAATGTGTAAATGAGCAGACATGTGATATTTGCATATTTTGCTTATTAACATTATTGAGGTGTAGTTGTTTAATGAAAATAGCATGTGGTAAGGCTGTGTGTTGATGTACATGAAGTAATTATCGTCCTCCAAACACAGGTCTTTAAGAAAATAAAAAATTGGTAAATCCACAATAAGGGTATTGTTTCAAAATATCAAGAAACTGGAAAAAGTTATCCAGAAAATTCAACTGGAAGGACAAGACTGATCACAAGCACCTTTATGAAATAATTTTTAAAAAGTCGAGAGGCATCACTCGGTGAATTAGTGAACGAATGGAATGAAGTTACCGGAAAGGAAGTTAAAAAAGAAACTAGTCATATCCATTTGGCTACAGCTTTTGCCAGGTAAGGAAATATTATTTATTACTTAACAATTGTGACAGATGATATTTCTTGGACAAAAACAAAACCATTTCTCACAAAGACACAAATAAAAAAAACTGATTAAAGTGGGCCAATAGCACCAAAAGCAACAGTGGAAGCAGGTTGTTTTTGGTGATGAGGCAAAGTTTGAAGTCTGCATTGGAGGAGGTAGAAGAAAATCATTAGAAAGCAAGAAGCATTCCATCATGACTGTACAGCGCACCATAAAATTTCCAGCAAGCATTATGGTGTGGGGTTGAACGTCAGCCCAAGGTGTGGGAAATTTGCATTTCATTGAGGGATTGGCAAATGCAGCAAAATATAAAATAACCCTATTATCATCATTAGAAAAATTATGGATATTTTATTTTCTAGCAGGATGGTGCAAGTTGCCATGCTGCTAAAACCTGCAAGGCTTGGCTGGCCCAACATAATATTAATGCATCAAAATGGCCATCAAGCAGTTCCGATCTTTTCCTTAGAGAAAATGGATGGTAAAATTAGAAAAGTTATTGAGAAAATGTCCTCAAGAAAGTGTGGATGGTTTAAAGCAAAATTCAAGCAAATTTGGAATGAAATTACTTCAAATCAATTCCTGGCTCATGTCGATACAATGACGATTGTATGAACGCTGTTATACAAGCGAATGGTTAAATATTAATGTACTGTCCGAGGTATTATTTGTCAGAAATGGCTCTGCCCGAACTTTTTTTATCGCATATGCTTTTTTCAACTGCGCATAACTTTTTTCCTGTATTATCAACATGAAAATTTTTTATGTAAAATCCTCAGTTATAATAAAAGTTTACTAATATAAAATATTTTTAAGTGTACAAAATTTTTCTGTTTGATATTATTGAAGGCTAAGCTAGAAATGGATTAAAATAACATGCTGTCGGGGTTGTAATCACTGTTTAACTAATTAACATTACATTTAAAATGCATACTTACAAAAATTACAGGGGAATTTCAGAGGCACCGGAAAATGGAGGCGATTTGGGAGATAGTGCCATACGCGATACCTTACAACCCTCTGAAAATTCTTCTTTCACACAGCTTCTCAAATCGGGGATAGGAGCTGCTTCACCTATACCCGGACAGGTAAGTCGTAAAAATCAAATAATAATTACTCTCTGTGTCAATTTAATCCATCTAAATTTACATAAGATTTTACACTTTTAAATCTGGAAAAATAAATTCATTGATTATATAATAATTCTCGATATAAAAGCAGTGTTAAGTTTTAATATATTTAATTTCTTNGTAAACTTTTATTATAACTGAAAATTTTCATGTTGATAATACAGAAAAAAAGTTATGAGCAGTTGAAAATAGCATGTGCGACCAAAAAAAAGTAATTTCTGACAAATAACACCTCAGATAGTGCATTAAATGACGTGTTCCTAAATGTGTAAATGAGCAGACATGTGATATTTGCATATTTTGCTTATTAACATTATTGAGGTGTAGTTGTTTAATGAAAATAGCATGTGGTAAGGCTGTGTGTTGATGTACATGAAGTAATTATCGTCCTCCAAACACAGGTCTTTAAGAAAATAAAAAATTGGTAAATCCACAATAAGGGTATTGTTTCAAAATATCAAGAAACTGGAAAAAGTTATCCAGAAAATTCAACTGGAAGGACAAGACTGATCACAAGCACCTTTATGAAATAATTTTTAAAAAGTCGAGAGGCATCACTCGGTGAATTAGTGAACGAATGGAATGAAGTTACCGGAAAGGAAGTTAAAAAAGAAACTTGTCATATCCATTTGGCTACAGCTTTTGCCAGGTAAGGAAATATTTATTACTTAACAATTGTGACAGATGATATTTCTTGGACAAAAAGAAAACCATTTCTCACAAAAACACAAATAAAAAACTGATTAAAGTGGGCCAATAGCACCAAAAACAACAGTAGAAGCAGGCTGTTTTTGGTGATGAGGCAAAGTTTGAAGTCTGCATTGGAGGATGTAGAAGAAAATCATTAGAAAGCAAGAAGCATTCCATCATGACTGTACAGCGCACCATAAAATTTCCAGCAAGCGTTATGGTGTGGGGTTGAAAGTCAGGCCAAGGTGTGTGAAATTTGCATTTCATTGAGGAATCGGCAAATGCAGTAAAATATAAAAAAATCCTATTATTGTCATTAGAAAAATTACAATATTACAGATATTTTATTTTCTAGCAGGATGGTGCAAAGTTGCCATGCTGCTAAAACCAGCAAGGCTTAGCTGGCCCAACATAATATTAATGCATCAAAATGGCCATTTGAGCAGTTCCAATCTTTCCCTTAGAGAAAATGGGTGGTAAAATTAAAAAAGTCATTGAGAAAATGTCCTCAAGAAAGTTTGGACGGTTTAAAGCAAAATTGAAGCAAATTTGGAATGAAATTACTCCAAATCAATTCCTGGCTTGTGTCGATACAATGACGATTGTATGAACGCTGTTATACAAGCCAATGGTTAAATATTAATGTACTGTCCGAGGTATTATTTGTCAGAAATGGCTCTGCCCGAGCTTTTTTTATCGCATATGCTTTTTTCAACTGCACATAACTTTTTTCCTGTATTATCAACATGAAAATTTTTTACGTAAAATCCTCAGTTATAATAAAAGTTTACTTATATAAAATATTTTTAAGTGTACAAAATTTTTCTGTTTGATATTAATGAAGGCTAAGCTAGAAATGGATTAAAATAACATGCTGTCGGGTTTTAATCACTGTTTAACTAATTAACATTACATTTAAAATTCATACTTACAAAAATTACAGGGGAATTTCAGAGGCACCGGAAAATGGAGGCGATTTGGGAGATAGTGCCATACGCGATACCTTACAACCCTCTGAAAATTCTTCTTTCACACAGCTTCTCAAATCGGGGATAGGAGCTGCTTCACCTATACCCGGACAGGTAAGTCGTAAAAATCAAATAATAATTACTCTCTGTGTCAATTTAATCCATCTAAATTTACATAAGATTTTACACTTTTAAATCTGGAAAAATAAATTCATTGATTATATAATAATTCTCGATATAAAAGCAGTGTTAAGTTTTAATATATTTAATTTCTTGCACATATTTTATTCTTATTTTAAGTAATCGGTATTTTTCTAACTTGATATAATGATTATTTAAGTATTAAATCATAACGCACAAGCAATTGACAAGATTGATTTGTTAATATTAAATTGCTACAGAATCTTTCCGATATGCATTTAGATAGAACATTGCTATTGCTTTTAACTTTGGAGAAAAATTTCTTCTAACTCTTCTTAATTACTTATATTTTTTCTAATTCCCAATGTATGAACAAATTTTTAGTAATATAAAATGAGTAAATTTAAATTTACATATTTTAAAGGGACAGTCGGTTCCGGAAGGTCTACAAGCTCAAGCCTTATTTCCATGGAAGGCCAAGAAAGATAACCACTTAACATTTAATAAAGGTGACATTATAAGTGTAAGAGAACAACAGGATATGTGGTGGTATGGAGAATTTCAAGGCAAGGTAAATACATTTTTTTTTAATTGGGCTTTTCTGAAACCTTCATTGAAATTAAGATTATAGTAAAGCAGTAAATAATAATTAAGGACTAGTTTCGGAATTAAAATTATTGATAATTAATGTATATATATATAACAACATCACTCAATAATCTACTAAATCACTGTCTAACTAAAAAACAATTTTTTTTTTAGAAATTTGACTTTATTCATTATCATACTCTCCTTTAAGAATGATACATTCATTCCAACACTCCTTTAACTTTTCGATGCCTTTTTTGTAGAACGATTTGTCTTTGCTCTCAAAATAGGCCTCAGTTTCAGCAATCAATCCTTCATTTGAGCTAAATTTCTTTTCCTGGAGCATCTTTTCGATGCCTGCAAAAAGTTAGTAGTTGCTGGGGACCAGATCTGGAGAGGATGATGGGTGAGGAAGCAATTTGAAGCATAATTCATTCAATTTAACCATCATTTTCATTGACTTATGACACGGGGCATTGTCTTGGTGGAACAGCACTTTTTTCTTTTGCATGTGAGGGCATTTTTTCTTGATTTCTACACTCAATCAATCAAATAGTGCCATGTAATATTTGCTATTGATAGTTTTACCTTTCTCAAGATAGTCGATGAACAAAATGCGCATCCCGAAATACAGATGCCATAACCTGCCAGCTGACTTTTGAGTTTTTGGTCGCTTTGGATGACTTTTATCGGCTGCTGTCCACTCAGCTAATGATCTTTTTCATTCAGGTGTGTAGTAATGGATCCATGTTTCATCCATTGTCACATACTGATGCAAGAAATCCTTTCTATCTCGCTTGAACAGCTCCAAACAGTGCTCTAAATCGTCGATGCATTGTTGTTTTTGGTCCGGTGTGAGCAAACACGGCACCCACTTCGAAAGCAACTTACGCATGCTCAAATTTTCGTGTAAAATTGTAAACATGCTACCTTCTGATATCTTTAAGATGTCAGCTATCTCATGCAACTTCACTTTACGGTCTTTCAAAACTATTTTGCAGACTTTTTTATGTTTTCTGGAACAGCTGCCGATTTTGGGTGACCAGAGTGTTCAGCATCATTGGTGTTTGTACGACCACGATTAAATTCAGCATACCAGTTAATAATAGTTGATTTCCCTGGTGCAGAGTCTCCATAATGCTTATCAAGCCACTGTTTGGCTTCAACAGTATTTTTCCCTCATCAAAAAACAATGTTTAATCAACACACGAAATTCTTTTTTATCCATTATTTTGAAAATTACAAAACTGGGGTCACTAAAACCACTGTAACCTGTAAACTTATTGTCAGAATGTCATGAAATTTTGACATGTATCTTTTGAAGGTTGGTACTATCCAGAAATCATATGGGTCTGTTGCCATATATGTGTCAGACCGGAGTCTTATTGAGTGATGTGTTATATGTGGTGTGTCTAAAAAGTTTGGTTGATATTAGGATATCTCAAATGCAATGCATGCCATCCACGAGGTTCTGCACGTACGTGGACCTCTGGTGAAGAATTACCTTCTAGTGTGGAATGTGCATGGCTGCAGTGAGGCCACCACAGTCGTTCGAGCACCTGTCTGTGCGAGAGGTGGCATCAAAGAGCAATGGAACAATGGCTAAGTTATTCAAAGTAATCTTGCTCCTGCAGACTTGTTTTTCCCCCTTCATTTCAAAGAGGTCATTAAGGAATCAAATTTTTTTGAATCTCTTCGGTATGGGCCCACATGGCGGTGGCAGCTCTTAAGACATTTCCAAAACAAGACTTTTTGAACTGTTTCCAGAAGCTTTACGAATGTTGTTGAAAGTATACTGTATTGTGTCTTGTGGAGAATACTTTCAGGGCCAATATAAGTAATTCCTATATATGTATCATTGATTTTGTTGTAACATTCACTGAACTTTTCAGACGCACCATGTATATGTAATCAACATGTAATAATTACAATTAAACTTTAATGTTATGAAGTTACAGAAAATTATGGGAAAATTTTTTTTAATAGTTTGGATGGTTTCCTAAATCGTATGTTCGTCTGTTATCGGGAGTAGGTAAAGCGGACGAAGAGTAAGTAGATTTATTAATATTAGTAATTTGTTCATCAGTTATTAATTTTAACATATATGTATCTAGCCTGAAGAAAAACAATGCGATGCCCTCGGAGATGGATGCCGATCAAGAGCTTCCCGACGAAGGTAAAATTTAGAATTTATCGATTATTACACACCTCGATAGGATAAATTCAAGAAGCGACAATAAGATTTTTTTCCTTTAAATAATAACGCAACAGACGTCTCTCCCGAATGCTACATTGCGGCTTATGCTTATCAGTCTCAAGAACCCGGCGATCTCTCTTTCCAACAAGGTGAAATTGTTCTTGTCACTAAAAAGGAAGGGGATTGGTGGACGGGAGTTATAGACGGAAGATCTGGTATTTTTCCAAGTAATTATGTTCGTACCATGCTTCCTGGAGAAATGCAGGTAATTCATATTTAAATTTACTATCATTTTAAACTTAACTGTAGCAATTAGATGATATTTTTATTACTATTTTGAGTTGTAATCATTTCTTTGTAATAATAGAAAATAAATTTAAATGCTTTCTTTTGAATTTAATAACAAATTGACTAAAATTTCTGTTCTTATTTCTGATCTCTTTCTCTTAAATGTGTTAAAATTTTCTTAATCAGAAACGTCAAATTTTATTTTTATTTTAATTCGTACATTAAAACAGTTACACACTTAAAAAAAAAATGGAAAATTAAACTATATATTTTATCTTTAACTTTTATTTAAAACACATCAAATTCTTACAATAGCCCTGCCAACTCGTCGCATGCAATTTTTTAAGAAAAATCGCAGAAGCATCTCCCAAAATTCACTAGTAAAATTAATATAATAATTAATATTTACATGAATTATTATAAAGAAAATCCTAATCATTATCTTTACTTCTAAAATCTACATAGTAACAATGGAGTTCTCCTCCCATTCATATATTTATTTCAGTGATGAAAGTTTTGACGGGTATTACATATACAAATACTTAACACCTTATTCTTGCCGAGAAATATTATATTTCTCGGCAAGAATAAGGTGTTAAGTATTTGTATATGTATAATGATTTGCTGAGTACTTTATGATATTTTTGACGGGTATTGTTGACCCTTAGAATAAACAAGCTGTTGGTTAAAAGTCTGCTTGAAAAAATAATCTAATCGACAATTTCTCACCAAATCTCGCAACTAGCTTGCTATTTAATAACTAGAGAAGCTGACATTTATAAAAAGCTAAGTAAATTCAGAAAAAAAGTATAAAGTATTGAACAAAAATCAAATTTATAAAGGGTGGATCGGAAGGAGAGGGAAATAAGTTGAGAGACAGGTACAGGTCATTGTAAGGAAAAAATTTATTTGAACATTGGTATTATTCTCAGTAGTTTTGGAGATTTAGCTGTTTGAAAGTTGCTCACACATGCACGTGCGTGCGCGCGCACACAATCACACAATAATAATAATGAGTTACACATGTCCTACATTTGCAACAAGTGCTCAAAAATTGAACCATTAACCTAATTACACTTTAAAAACTAACTTTACATTGTTTGGCTTACATCCCTATCAGGGTGTCCAACATTTGCTTCTTTGAGATACTGCAATTTGATTCGTGTTTTATCAATGGAGATACACGACCATTGACAAGTAACTCAAAGAAGTGACAAGTTGTAAAATTTATTGCGACTACTAGACACAAGTTGTAAAATTTATTGAGGTTTGTAGTTCACTTTTTGAGCATTTGTTGTGAACATAAGTGTTTTATTCATTAATTAAACAAATTAAAGTAACCTAACATGTAACCTTTTTTTATATATTTGTGTTTAATTTTTATAGAAAAATGTCTGTAACTGTTGTTTGTTTATAATTTTCCTTTCGGTTTCATATTACTAATCTTTATTAACAGATTTTTCTATTCTCTGATTCTGATTCTTTTCTACTTTGCTATTGAATTGACTTTTAGGAACCCCCGGAAAGTATTGAAGATACAATCGATAACCAGGTTAGTTTTATTCATTTATTTCAAACGACGTATGCTGTGTTGTAATTGAGTCTTGGATGCAAATTTCCTATCGTTTGTTCCTGTGACATTATGTATTTATGTTTTGCTGCTTTAATTTATAGTGTGATTTGTGTTTTAAGCTTAAAGTTTTGCCTATCTTGTATGTTTTTAATTGAAAATATTCATTGAAATCATTGCCCCTCACTTCATTTCAAATTATTCTAATTTGTATATTCTTACAGCATTAAATCTTTAATCTGCATCATCTGTTTATTTGTAACTTTATGCAAATCATTGATTAGTTTTTTACCGTAGACAGATTTATTCTGTCCAAGAAACCTATTTTTATTTCAAGTGATTTGGAGGACCTTCAATTAGCAGACATTCACAGTATAATTTCTTTTTATGCAGTGGCAAATGAGAGTTTTTTCCCTTTACTTTAGGATATGTCGTTTTGTTTTTGCTTAAGTATGCATCTATTTAATATTGATATGCATTTATTATTAATTTGCATATGTTCGATGCTGAATGATGTGGTGCAATGTGGCGATGCAAATGACTACTACGTGGAAGGCCTTTCAGATTGCTGGTTGTAATAAGAAATAGTGTTTTTATACTAAATTTTTAAAATTATCGTGTAAACGTTTGTACTCAAATTTCACATTGTGCCTATTTTTTACTCAAAATGTACTTAATTATTTATTTGGATAAACTTTTAGAATTTTTAAATAAGTATTTTTGACACGACAAAACAGTTTTTACAACGTTGCTTTAATAATTTATGAATATAAAAATAGTTCAAGTTAAAATGATTTGGTATTACAAAAGTATTTGAATGATAATGATACATTTTACTTGAAATTCTTTACATGTAATTACAAATTAATGTGTAAAATCTATTGATTTTTATGTCTTGTATTAATCTATACTTTCAAAATTATGGAATTTGGAGCACTCGTATATAAATTTAAATATTTGAGACCCGACAATGTTGTTATTGCAAAATTTAAGATATATTTTTTTTTACAGTATTAATCATAGTTAATGGTAATTGATAATGTACTTTGTACTTATTTGTTTATTATAATAGACTTATTTGTAAGTATCTGTAATTAACATGTAATTTTTCTTAAAATTTTAGGTACAAGAAACAGCCACTTTTAATCCACCCGCTAGCAAAACAGAGATTCCTTCGGCATCGGAGGTACGTTTAATTTTACTCTTTACGTGCATGGGTACGTGCGTCTGAATAAACTTTCGTCAAGCATGTCTGTCTATAATAATAATGTGAAGTTTTTGTATTGTTTTCCTTAGAGTTTGTCTTTCAAAATTATGCAACTTACATCCAAATAATTAATATGAACTGCAATGTCATTACTTATTTTGATTCTTACTACTATTGGGATGACACAAAATCAAATTTTTGTTTATTTTTCTGTATATTTTACATAACATATGATCGTCACATCGACTGTAACTCTGTTTTCATTGCTTATATTTATGTTAACCTTAATCTCACATATTTTCTTTAATGTGTGAACGTAATGCACTGATTTATGCAGCATAATTACACTGCACATAATTGCTGTTTCTTGAATTTGATATTGAAAAATTGCGTAATCTGTCTTTTCTGTACTTGCCAAATTTCAACGTCATACATTGTTTTGTTTACAGAATGATGTCTTGTGCTGTTGAAATGCTATATGGGCTCCCATATGGAGCCCTTGTGCCATTTCTGATGAAACGTTGCCATTTTCCAGAAATGTAATAAGGGTGCATTTAAACATAAAAAAATAGGGTCTATAGACTTCATTTTCAATATACAGTGGAGTCAAAGATACAGTGTCACGCTCCCTGGCACAATTGACCACATTATTGTTTTTCTCCCTAAATTCAGTTAAACAGCATCGTGTGCCTAATGGAAAATAGGCATGAAAAACAAACAAAACAATCGACGGTGATTGCTTTGTTCTTGGATTGCCTCTCTGTGTCAGCAAGTTTGAGGATTGTATCTCCTGTGGTCAGCAGCTATGAGGATCACCTCTCCTTGTGGCTGGAGGTACTGGTACAAGCAGAGTTGTGGAAAGATAGGGGCAGATGGGTACATGCCCCGGTACAAAGATGATAGGAGTGCCAAAATTCCAAAACTCTTACATAGGAAAACTTATAAATTCATAGAAAACTGTCACATACAAGTATGAAAAATTATATTAATAAAAATGATGCAATATATTAATAGAAAGTGATTTTATAATTTTTAAGTTTGTAACAGACTATGAAAATCTTATCCAATAGGCTTCTATCTGACTCCTCCTCAGTTTGATCACGATAAAGTCGCATGATGTCCTAGTACTGTATAGACTACTATTCCTTTATTCTATATGTAACACAACAGTAAGTATTTATGTATGTAAACATTTTCAAACATAAAAGAGGCACCGATGCCTACAAATTTTTCTTTTCCATTGTAATGTTATGGGGTAGACCTCTGTTGTTGTGTTCACGTATTGTGAAGCTATAAAAATTTATCTGTAAAATGTAATTTCATATGCATTTCAATGATTAATTGGATATAAGTTGCAAGAGATGTTTTAGGTCGGTTTCTTACCGCTAACATTTGAGCAGTGGCATAGCGAACATAACTGGCGTCAGGGGCATGACACTTTATTGCCGCCCCCCTCCAGAAACACACATAATTTGTCTTGGAGACCATTTGGGTGCCCCTCTACGAGTGGCACCCGGTGCATGATACACCCCCTCGCACCCCCTCGCTACGCCACTGCATTTGAGTTCTGAATTATTACTCTAAACTTCTGCACAAAATACTAACATCTTACGTTGTTGCACAATAATCTAATCAAATAAAGTTACATATATTTATATTACTGCACCATTTTGTTTTTCGGTACTTATTTTCAAGTGGTTTCCAGTAACTTCGGTTATTTTTTTATTTATTAATAATTTAATAATGTATAATTTTAAAATACAGTAAATCCTTGATAACTCTGATGTAAATCAAAATTACTGCGACGAAAAGAGACAATCGTTTTTTAAATTTGGGTTATTGAGAATTGACTGTAATTAATTAAGTTATTTATTTACATTTTTAATGATATGAATCAAATGAATATCTGTTACTAACTTGTACTTCCTGACGACATTGTCGACCCTTCGTAGACCATAAAATCGGAGGTACCGGCCGTCGAGAGTCCCAAGCCAAAGGTGTGCCTTTAAAACTTACCACGGGAAAGAAAAAGCTTATTTGTACAATATCTCGATTACTGTCGATCGTGTAATTGCAAATTACATATGTTAAAAAGTAAATTTTTAATTCATTTCATAAAGAAAATGATTTTTTTTTTTGTCAAATATGATTTTAGTTTGGCTTCGTTAAAAAGTTATTTGGAATTCCGCCAGGTAATCGAGTTATTAATACAAAAATTTCTGCTTAATTGAAATATGCTTTTTGCTTTTTTATACATTTTTTTTTTTTTGTAATTTTAGATATAAAGATGCATTTTCTTAATTCTAGAAACAGTTTAAATTTTTTATGCCTTGGTAGACAAAAGAGATTTTTTTAAATCTCTTGAATAAGTGCAGAAATGAACGGTCAGTCAAATTTTTTTCGCTTAACATAAAAAGGAATATATACGTCAGTCATTTTTTACATACGAAGCTATATCGGAAGATTTGTAGATAAATCTCTCGATAAAATTTCAGTTTCTAAAGACTTAAAAAGTCTTTAGAAATATAACTTAAATTTTGTTGCTTTAAAAAAATTAAGTAAACTATAAGATTCTGTATTCAATTCTTTTACTGTATTTATATTTTAAAGCAAACATTAAAGGGTCGTTAATCAAAATCAATTGTCTGACAGTCATCTTGTTTTAAGTATTTCGTGTGAAGATACCGAAATTTCAAGCTCGAGACGTTGAAATTTTATTTTTTGTCATTTCCGTTTACTATGTTATCGATTGCTGAATCGGTTCGAGTCTTTAGGAAGTATATAAGCCAATTACAATAAATGCGTTTGTTAAATTTGTTTTAATTATCGGCAAAATGTTGGATTTACGTCTCCCCTCTGTGAGGTCGAAGTCGACGTTCGAATTTAGTATTACAATTATGTTTTTTAATAAATGTCGATTGTATGTAAATTGTTTTCGTTGAACATTCAATGACTTTACACATAATTAATTATAATTAAATCAAAACACTTTTTGCATTCTTAAATTTGAATTTATGATCTTTCTTTCAAAGAAATGGTTGTTATTGATGCTGGAAGCATTCTTAAACATTTCAGATTTTTTTCCAAACAAAAATAAATAATTATTTACACTTTTTTGGAATAACTTTAATTACCCTAGATGAACATTGGGAAATTTTATGATTCATTTAAGCCAAAAAAATCAATATTGCAATTGTAAATAATTTACGAGGAAGGACATCTAAACAAATTTAGTCACGGTCAGTAGAAAGTGAAGTCGAGATGAACTTTCAGGTAAAGATTGTCGTAACTTTGTTTATGTGTAACTGAAAGATTGCCTTAAATAATCGGGCTATAAATCCACTAATTTAATGATTGGTACTAAGTAATTTGTTACAAGAGGTAGACATTAGGTGCCATCTCTTATCTACTAAATCAATAATTATAATTTTAATAATTTATTAAATAATTTATAATCATCTGGAAGAAAAGAACTGGCCCGTGGCGAGGCTTGAACCCACAACTTTCGCTTGCCGTGCAGTTCTTTATACAGATAATGTGTAATGTGTTATACATGTATAACTAACATATATGTTAGTTATACATGTAATAATAGGCAATCAGATAGAATAGACTAAATATTTATGCTTCTATTTTTAAATATCTTTGATATGAAATGATAGAAACTACAAAAAAAGATTACCTATGGTTGTATATATTGTGTCTGCAGTTTGTATCGATATCCATTGATCTGATTATATTCAACTTTGTAGATGAATATTTACTTCATATTTGTCTTAAATTTCAAGATGAATTGTGACAAATAATATATGGGGTGATTGTAATTAAAGTGTCCCTATTTGGTGCCATTGGCAGGGATGAGTAACGGATCCAAAGGTGACGAAATTTTGTATGTTAAAGTCTTGAAAGAGATTTTTTAGATAAGAAATTTATTTCTGAAATTAGACATTATGGAATTTCTGGTGCCAAGAGTGGAAAAAACACTTGTAACCTGAATAATGCAAGTATACAATGGGTGATTTCTGGGTATAAAATTTCCCATGGCATGTAGAATGTCTTTGTATTATCACGGATTGGCTGTGCCGGACTTTGTCAGAATGGACTTCTTTAGTAAAGGTTTTTTATGAAAACAGTGTCAATGCTCCCATTTTTTCATAGTGGCTGGTTGCCCTCATTCCGCTTGCAAGTTTTGCTTACTTTTGGAACCAAATTTCCAGAATTATCCTGGTTTCTTCTTTCGTGCATGGCGAGTAAAACATTAGCATACAAAATTTGATTTTTGAACTGCTGCATATCTGTTTGGACAGTGTCAAATAGGATTGAATTTTGCATACGATTAAAAAACACTAACACTCTAAAAAGATAATCATTTTTTTAATGTTTAACAGAACTCTAGTTAAAAAAAATTAAATGCTTTTATGGTTTGTTTATAACCTTTTGATTTATAATGGACGTGTTTTCCATCATGAGTGACAGGACGCTCATTGTACGTATTTTCCAAATTATATCCTTATTTGTCGCGAATTTCACTTGGGACTTCTATAATAATTATAAAGTAATACTAAAAATATTGTAATCCCAAAGCTGTTTTATAACCGTATCTGTATATCTATGTGTGTATTTCCTTTTTATGTTTACTTTATCGGCTTCTTCGATACGCAAGTTATTTGTAATTAAAGTGTTAAAATCAAATTACATTCTTAAATATTAGTTGTAACATAATCTTGTGTAGTCTGTTAGTTTTCTAAACTGCATGCACTTAACATTGTATCTTGAAACCTTATCTGTGCAGATATGCTTGCTTATTTCTCAAATTTTTGTCTGTACAGTCATTTTATCAACAGAATAGCATGCACATTTTAAAAAAAAAACCATTATATTTACGTGTGTATCTTTCCTTTAGAATACGAAAATGCTTAAGAAGCCAGAAATAGTTACTGTGATAGCACCTTATCAGACCACGAGTCCGGGTCAGTTGAGTTTGGAACGCGGACAGCTAATACAGGTTCGGAAGAAGAGTCCGAGCGGTTGGTGGGAGGGAGAGATGCAGGTAACGTCCATTTGGATGTATTTTGTTCATTTAATCATAAGCAGATGAGGTTAATAATCTTAAAATTAGATCAAAGGTAAGAAGAGGCAGATCGGATGGTTTCCCGCTTCATATGTGAAACCGCTGAGTGGAAGTGGAACTAATAGCAATAGAAGCACTCCAGACGCTCTGCAGCAGCAAAAACAACAGACGGAAGAGACCGTGAACGGAACTCCTCAATCTCAACCGCCACTAGGTTTTTAAGATTTTTATTTTTCTTTGTTTTAATCTTCCAGAACAATCGAGGACTTTTAAAATGATCTTATTTTATTTTTCAGATCAAGTGGTCGCTCTCTATCCATTCACTGCTCAGCATGAGGACGAGTTAACATTCCAAAAAGGCCAAGTAATTACTGTACATAACAAAGAAGACACCGCCTGGTGGAGGGGTGAAATTAATGGTGTCGTCGGTCTCTTCCCGGCCAACTACGTAGAACCGCTAGAAAAATCCAGAATTACACCTACTCCCGGACAGTGTGAGTATAATGTTTAACTTCTTAATCGATAGTATGAAGCTTATGTGATGATGATTTGATGAATCCCTCTCTGCCTCTTGCAGGAGGAAACGATTACCAGTATAAAGACATCCTTGGCACCCACTACCACACCGGCCATGAAGATCTGAATTAAATCAGTCACAAAAAAAAAAAAAAAACTGTAGTCTTTCTTCCAGAATGACAGAGTTGTGTGAAATTTAAAAAGTTATTTACAATGTGTATCTCCGAAGATTTAATATATATATACATACATATATATACACGTCGTTTACGGTAGTCTTAGATTATACAGAATGAAATGTTAATCTATTGTTGTATTTTGTATATTTGGTTTTATATGTGCAGCTCGTTTCTGGTTATTTACACTCGTATTTTTTTTATACGTGAAATTTGCAACTAATATGTTTCTTTGTCGATTTCTTTAATATCTTTAAGACACGTGTGGTAGTGGGTCCAGGGTAGAAATTTTGGTTTGCATTTAGATTATAGAGAAATTTTACCTGTAACTTAATTTCTTTCCTATACCAAACTACCCTAGACCCACCTCTACTACACTATTCGGGAGATAAAAATAGTTACAAACGTGCAGATGTGAACGTGTAGATTTAAGATGTTGCAATACTCGAATCCAGAGGAAGTAGTCGAAGTTTTACTATAGACAAACAGTTCGAACAGTGAACTAATATATTACATTAAAGGCTATTATTTAAAACGTTTCCATAGCTTTCACCATTTAGTCAAATTTATGGAATGTTTTGTGCCAAAAAAAAAATATTTAATGATTAAATAGTAACGTGGTGTTTGTTCCTTTTCCGTTTTTTATTCTCACGGATTGAGTACAGACCAGTGTGAATATATTATAAAGTGTGGAAATTCTCTAACGCGTGCTGCTCGAAGTTAGAGGACTGTCATTTAAAATCGAAGGTACGCAAGTTAAAATATTGAAGAGAAGGAAGATGGTTGCGGAAGTTTATAATTATTCTGATTGTGGCTAAATTGTCGTGTAGTAAGCTTAACGGCATCTCAATTATTGTTGAGATTTTTGTTTACAAGCTGTTATATGACATTTTCTGTAGTGTGAATTCATTTTTTCATAGAAAATTTCCACACATTATCGAAGATTAATATTGTTACATGGTCTACTCTCTCAAGATCTAATGATTGTTTGCTTTGTTACTTTAAAAAACTCATTTAAACATTTTGAATCTCACTTATGTTAAGCTCTCTATTGTTTGTATATGTTGACACTAACTGGTGTTAATTAATTTTTGAATCTTTAGAATATTTGTTATACCTTGAGTATAATTTATTATTTCATGGAATCCATAAAATTATATATTTTTGTTTCGAAGAAGCCACGACAAACATTTGTCCATCGAGAAGACAAAACAGTAGATGGGGGGATCCACGCATAGAGACACAATGACTCAAAACTATTTCTTCATTCTTCAATAGAAGCTTAAATTATCTATGCATGATAATCTGCAATAGTTGATTGTATTGTGATTTTTCGCAAATGAGTATTCGTGGGAGCGATTGCAATCCACTGCAAATTTTTGTATTTCAATAATCTTTAGAGAGAATACAAAAATGGTAGGATGTTGTGCATTGTGAGAAAAAAAAATTAGAAAAATTGTCTTGAAGTTGTTGTGTAATTGCAGGAAAAATTGCACAGTTGTATGATGTACAGAATAAATTTTTTTGTTGATGTGATATAAATTGTTTGTGCTTTATTATTGTTTTATTATAATTCTAACATTTCCTTCCTTTTGGTTAGTAACTCATTATTAGTATTAAAGTATATAGCATAAAAACAAATCATTATGTTGAAGTTTTGTTGGCACATATCTACACAGAATGGAACTAACTGTAATTGTCTTGCCACGACACTGCTTAAATTTCTTAGATAATTGAGATAATAGAGGTCTTGTATCAATGACTGAAAGTTAGGACTCTGCTCCACCAAATGGCACTGGAGTTCTAGAGACCATGGCTCAATCTTTAGCAGTTGGCATCCAGTAATCACTAAAGGTGTCTGAACAATAGCAGTCAGACTGAGAAATGCTCATACCTTAGCAGTACAGCACCTACAGTTTTCACTTCTTTCATTGCCCTCAGCATCCAACCATCTAACCTTGCCTACAGTTTTGTACAAGCTATTGCTGTTTTATACACACAATCAAGAACTGAGTGATGCTCATCTTTTTGGGTCATAGAGCTTTCCTTTTGCCCCAACTAAGAGAGGACCTGCCCAGTGTTTCACTAAGCTGTATATTGATCCATATTTTCCTTTTAGTCTCTTGAGCATTGCTCTTCTGTTTTTCAGTTATAAATACAGTAGAACCTCGATTATCCGCCCTAATTGGGGACTGGGGTTGGTCGGATAATTGAAAAGTCGGATAACCGAAAAGTATGAAAAAATCCATTATTAGTGTAGTATATTATTATATCCCATGTAATTAGTATATTAGTATATCGCTATTAACCTATTTTGCGTTGAATTTTCATCGATGTTAAGCCTAACAAAAATTTTTTAAAATAATAATCGTCGCTATTGTATTGTTAAAAATTAGAAAATTAAGCTTCGTTTAAATACTGGCTCCCTTTCATGGTCAAGTGAGTGTTTCCAGCTAAAACACATAAAAATAATATTAAAGTCGCCAAGACATAGCCAAATATTGTAGCGCCACATCACTAGCGGACATTTGAAATTTGCCGACTAGGACGGTCGGTTAACCGAGGGGTCGGTTGATCGGGGGGCGGATAATCGAGGTTCTACTGTATTCACTTTCTAGTCCTACAAGCCTTACCTACATTGGCCTTTAACATGATCTAGAACTCTAGAGGGTCCCACTTTCACATCAAATGGTTGTAGGAGCTCTAGATCTAGCCAGCAAGCTCTGTCTGGCTTCTTTTCCAAGTGTTAGGTCAAAGGACCTTGTTAATCTGACCATGTCAATTCCTTTAGCCAGAAAAAACTTGGCTTGAAACATAGTCAGTCAGTCCAGAACTTAACCGCAGTTCTGGTAAGAGAGGCAGCTGGCACTCTTGCAGGAATGATTGGAACCCATACAGACCTTGCCCTTTAATTAAGAGCATTTTGAATAGAACTGTTCCCTCCGAGACCCAGTTGAGAAGGCCCCTTTTCCTTTCAGGACCACTTGGGCTTCAGGTTGTCGGCCTGCATATCCAAGTTGTTCTGGGCTTGTCTTTACAGATGCTTCCTGACATTGTAAATAATAACTGGCCAATGCTTAGATATCCTATAAACAACTGCCTCCTTCATTGCCTTTGACTCTTCTGTCAACTCTTTCTGAAGCATTTGGACATTCCATTGGGATTTGACCTCAATCAGAATGCTATTTATTTTGACCTCGTGGATGTTTTTAATGCCCACTTTAAGTTATTTGAGATTTACATTTCTCTCTAGCTGATTGGGAAACACTGCATTAATCAAACAGATAGTGTACTGCAGTGTTTCCCAAACATGTTTTAAAACTATGATGTTTTAAAACATGTTTAAAATTTAAAAAATAAATTATGGCTGGTTTAAAAAAATTCTTTAATACAGAAGTTAAATTTATCAAGAGATATTTGTAAAATTGAAAGTTTTTATTATGAAAATATAGAGACTATTTAAATCTGCATATAAAGAGTATTTGGGTTTAAGCTGATAAGCTGCAAAGTTTATGGAAGCTCCCAGAGTTGACAGGCATACACACAAATGCATGCAACTTTCATGATGGGTATACTAATACTGCAAATTGCAACAATCAGTATTTTAGGGAATACCTCCTGGCTGGCCAGCAGTAAAATGAAAGATAAATGAAATTAAAAAAGATCTGCTTCAAAATTTTAAACAATATTTAATAATTCAGCAACACCTGAAGCACCCGCAACACATTTTAGGAAATAATGGTGTACTGCATAGCTACTGTCCTCATGTACATCAGAGATGGATGAAAAGTGTTTTTCAAGAAAGGATGGACAAGCACTTGGTTTGGCTCCCCAGCTGAGTGGGTAAGTTTGCTTACTGACTGAGTATAGGTAACCTTGGCCAGCATAGATCTTTTGGTATCTGTTCTACAGGGTCTTGCTTGATCAGTTGGCAGGACATGGCCTGCCTTCTTAATACACTTCACATTGAAGTTGGAGCCTTAAGTTCACACTCCTACCTCAGCACTATTGAGGCCATCTTTTGAAAAAGGTTCTAGATGGTAGCATCATCATTTGACAATGGTTGTTGATCCTGTCAAGTAGAGTTGCCAGGTCCTCCTAGATTCCCTCAATCATTTGTTAGTTTCTGAACTCTAGTTGCATTGCAGTGGTCCCTCTTGTCTCGGCTATGGAAGCGTCACTCTTCCTTTTGTCCAACTGCTCCTCTTGTTCTGGGTCAATGCAGGGCATATCTATTTTAAGGGCAACCAGAGGCATTGCTCCTTCAATTCATTTGTTTTTGTTCCTGGCCGGCTGCATCCCACTTGCATCTTAGTGATGGGAGAGCACTGGGGATCACCACTTTCCCAAGAGCACAGCATCTTATTGTGCTGCTCTCTCTGCTGTCTATGCAATGCTTGCTTATGATGATAGTCAAACTACTTTCTTACACTACTTCCTTCTTGTCTTCCTTCTTGTAATCTACCTCTTCAAGACCAGAATTAGAAAGTATATCATCAAAACCTCTGGCCTTTCTATAACAACCATGCCTCTCCTCCTTTGTAGCTGGCATTTCATTTCTTGTGGGCTGTTGCTCTTGTTTGTTTACATTGTACCAAGGAACTGCAACGCCTTCTCTCATTACCCGATGGCTTCTTTTTATTTTCATAAGGGGAGTAAATAGGAGCTGTCCAGAGGGCACTGATGGTGTGTTACTCTTTATTAGCAGGTCTGCTAGTTTGCTTGAGACAAGCTCAATTGACTACATTTATCCTTAAATTTTTCAGGAAAGACAAGACTTCTCTGGAAAACTTTGTAGCAGC